TACCACACAGCATACTAAAGTTCTCGTTAAACAATGATACCACAAAGCACACTAAAGTTCTCTTTAAACAATGATACCACACAGCATACTAAAGTTCTCTTTAAACAATTATACCACACAGCATACTAACGTTCTCTTTAAACAAGTTCTCTTTAAACAATGATACCACACAGCATACTAAAGTTCTCTTTAAACAATGATACCACACAGCATATTAAAGTTCTCTTTAAACAATTATACCACACAGCATACTAAAGAGAGATATTTTTAAACAATTATACCACACAGCACACTAAAGTTCTCTTTAAACAATAATACAGCACAGCATACTAATGATTATTCTCTTAAGACAATGATTCCAAACGGCATACTAAAGAGGATTCTTTGTAAACAATGATACCACACATCATAATAACGTTCTGACTAAACAATAATACCACACTGCATACTAAAGTTCTCTTTATATAATGATACCACACAGCATACTAAAGTTCTCTTTAAACAATGATACCACACAGCATACTAAAGAGATCTCTCTGTAAACAATGATACCACACAGCATACTAAAGTTCTCTTTATATAATGATACCACACAGCATACTAAAGTTCTCTTTAAACAATAATACCACACAGCATACTAAAGTTCTCTTTAAACAATGATACCACACAGCACACTAAAGTTCTCTTTAAACAAAGATACCACACAGCATACTAAAGTTCTCTATACAATTATACAGCAGCATACTAAAGTTCTCTTTCAACAAGAATACCACACAGCATATTAAAGTTCTCTTTATATAATGATACCACAAAGCACACTAAAGTTCTCTTTAAACAATGATACCACACAGCATACTAAAGTTCTCTTTAAACAGTGATATCACACAGCACACTAAAGTTCTCTTTAAACAATGATACCACACAGCATACTAAAGAGATCTCACTCAGCACACAGTAAAGAGATCTCTCTTTAAACAATGATACCACACAGCATACTAAAGTTCTCTTTAAACAGTGATATCACACAGCACACTAAAGTTCTCTTTAAACAATGATATCACACAGCACACTAAAGTTCTCTTTAAACAATGATACCACACAGCACACTAAAGTTCTCTTTAAACAATGATACCACACAGCACACTAAAGTTCTCTTTAAACAATGATACCACACAGGATACTAACGTTCTCTTTAAACAATGATAACAAACAATGATATCACACAGCACACTAAAGTTCTTTTTAAACAATGATACCACACAGCATACTAAAGAGATCTCTCTTTAAACAATGATACCACACAGCATACTAAAGTTCTCTTTAAACAATGATACCACACAGCACACCAAAGATAATTCTCTTAAAACAACGATTCCAAACGGCATACTAAAGAGTTTCTTTTTAAACAATGATACCACACAGCATACTAAAGTTCTCTTTAAACAGTGATATCACACAGCACACTAAAGTTCTCTTTAAACAATGATACCACACAGCATACTAAAGATATCTCTCTTTAAACAATGATACCACACAGCATACTAAAGTTCTCTTTAAACAATGATACCACACAGCATACTAAAGTTCTCTTTAAACAATGATACCACACAGCATACTAAAGTTCTCTTTAAACAATGATACCACACAGCATACTAAAGAGATCTCTCTTTAAACAATGATACCACACAGCATATTAAAGTTCTCTTTATATAATGATACCACAAAGCACACTAAAGTTCTCTTTAAACAATGATACCACACAGCATAATAAAATTCTCTTTATATAATGATACCACACAGCATACTAAAGTTCTCTTTAAACAATAATACCACACAGCACACTAAAGTTCTCTTTATATAATGATACCACACAGCACACTAAAGTTCTCTTTAAACAACGATTCCAAACGGCATACTAAAGAGGATTCTTTTTAAACAATGATACCACACAGCATACTAAAGTTCTCTTTAAACAATGATACCACACAGCATACTAAAGTTCTCTTTAAACAATGATACCACACAGCATACTAAAGTTCTCTTTAAACAGTGATATCACACAGCACACTAAAGTTCTCTTTAAACAATGATACCACACAGCATACTAAAGAGATCTCTCTTTAAACAATGATACCACACAGCATACTAAAGTTCTCTTTAAACAATGATACCACACAGCATACTAAAGTTCTCTTTAAACAGTGATATCACACAGCACACTAAAGTTCTCTTTAAACAGTGATATCACACAGCACACTAAAGTTCTCTTTAAACAATGATACCACACAGCATACTAAAGAGATCTCTCTTTAAACAATGATACCACACAGCATACTAAAGTTCTCTTTATATAATGATACCACAAAGCACACTAAAGTTCTCTTTAAACAATGATATCACACATTATACTAAAGTTCTCTTTAAACAATGATACCACACAGCATACTAAAGTTCTCTTTAAACAATGATACCACACAGCATACTAAAGTTCTCTTTAAACAATAATACCACACAGCATACTAAAGTTCTTTTTAAACAATAATACCACACAGCATACTAAAGTTCTCGTTAAACAATGATACCACACAGCATACTAAAGTTCTCGTTAAACAATGATACCACAAAGCACACTAAAGTTCTCTTTAAACAGTGATATCACACAGCATACTAAAGTTCTCTTTAAACAATGATACCACACAGCACACTAAAGTTCTCTTTAAACAATGATACCACACAGCATACTAAAGAGATTCTCTTTAAACAATGATATACTAAAGTTCTCTTTAAACAATGATACCACACAGCCTAAAGTTCTCTTTAAACAGTGATATCACACAGCACACTAAAGTTCTCTTTAAACAATGATACCACACAGCATACTAAAGTTCTCTTTAAACAGTGATATCACACAGCACACTAAAGTTCTCTTTAAACAATGATACCACACAGCACACTAAAGTTCTCTTTAAACAGTGATATCACACAGCACACTAAAGTTCTCTTTAAACAATGATACCACACAGCATACTAAAGAGATCTCTCTTTAAACAATGATACCACACAGCATACTAAAGAGATCTCTCTTTAAACAATGATACCACACAGCATACTAAAGTTCTCTTTAAACAGTGATATCACACAGCACACTAAAGTTCTCTTTAAACAATGATATCACACAGCACACTAAAGTTCTCTTTAAACAATGATACCACACAGTACACTAAAGTTCTCTTTAAACAATGATACCACACAGCATACTAAAGAGATCTCTCTTTAAACAATGATACCACACAGCATACTAAAGTTCTCTTTAAACAATGATACCACACAGCATACTAAAGTTCTCTTTAAACAATGATACCACACAGCATACTAAAGTTCTCTTTAAACAATGATACCACACAGCATGTTCTCTTTAAACAATATACCACAAAGCACACTAAAGTTCTCTTTAAACAATGATATCACACATTATACTAAAGTTCTCTTTAAACAATGATACCACACAGCATACTAAAGTTCTCTTTAAACAATGATACCACACAGCATACTAACGTTCTCATTAAACAATAATACAACACTGCATACTAAAGATAATTCTCTTAAAACAACGATTCCAAACGGCATACTAAAGAGGATTCTCTTTAAACAATGATACCACACAGCATACTAAAGTTCTCTTTAAACAGTGATATCACACAGCATACTAAAGTTCTCTTTAAACAATGATACCACACAGCATACTAAAGTTCACTTTAAACAATGATACCACACAGGATACTAACGTTCTCTTTAAACAATGATACCACACAGCACACTAAAGTTCTCTTTAAACAATGATTCAACACAGCATACGAAAGACAGTTCTCTTTATGCCTGGTATAATTGAAGCTGGTACTTTACCTGGATTATAGACTCCCCCTCCAGTTTCCAGAGGTTACTGGGATGTCTGTTGACAATGCTAAGTATTATTCCCGAGTCCCTGTACGGACGCGATTGTAATAGAGATCTTTATCTATTTCTAAACATCCGGCTCCTCTGGATTACGTTGGGCTGATCGAGGTAAGGAGTTGTCAGTAGCCGAGTGGTTTATTGTTGCTTGTATTTTACCAAGGTTACATTTGTGTATATACGTGGGAAACAAATACTAATAGCGACTCGTTGTTTATATAGCGTTAACCACGTCAACTTCTGTCTTTGTTAAAAATTAAATTTCTATATTATAACTTGAGTATATAATTGTTGTTCTTGCTAAATACCTATCCAGTCTTTGGTTTTATCAATTCTTGATGTTTTGATGCAAACATTCGAAGTAGATTGACGCGCAGTAATTTGAGATTGGGATATCACTACATTAGCAATATTCTGCCGCTTTTCATATTGTATCTTACATCATCCACACATAGATTTAGACGTTTTCCGATTAATTGTCTGTGACGGGCTTATTTACCTCTAACTGCTACACGAGTATATTGAACCAATCAATGTCGTTCTATTTAACAAACATTATATAAATGAACATCCTGATGTTTCAAATAAAACAGATTTCATATAAAATATGAAAAATAGAAATTTCATAACCATAAATGAAAAATCCATCATTTTGAATATGTGTGTCAATATATACATAAAAGGATAAACTTTGCCATGATATCGACAGGGTGTCTACTGTTTGCTCATTGTACTTCCATATTTAGTGTTATTGGTGTTATTTTATACCGTCTGCAATCATCTGTCTGTAGCCTACATGTTGTTTTGTATTTCACTTCGCCTTGTAATTTCAACCTCGTTGAAGCCATCGTTTTTTTCAAATTCGCCATTAGGGTATTTAGGCTCGGATGGAATGTAAGAGAAAATTGAATCTTAATTGATGCAATTACTTTCTGAACACATACGACAGGATGTCACGTGATCATTGTTCATGTACATAAATTGCATTGACATTTTAAATCGTCACGTTGCAAAAATTGTATTTAAATTGATGCAGATACCACACAGAGGGAATAAAAGCTGGACCCCTGGCCGTAGATGTTCATACAAAGCACCACAATGGGTTACGTCACAGGTGTCTTGTTAAGCGGACTGTTTGTCATGGTTTTCTTTACTGAACAAGCGCATGCTATGCCACGAAACACTGTTGCAAAGAGGCAGGATTTATTGGAACTAAATTCCGACATCGAAGAGATACAGTCTGATATAGACGAACTGAGAACAAATCAACAGGAATTAGAGAATGCCGTGAACACCCTGAATATGTCAATCATTGGTCCCGGACCTCCACAAGGTTAGTAAAATTCTAGCAAAACCTGGAACTCCACAAGTTTAGTACATTTTTAGCAAAACCTGGAACTCCACAAGTTTAGTACATTTCTAGCAGAACCTGGAATTCCAAAAGGTTGGTACATTTCTAGCAAATCTGGACTCAACAAGGTTAGTACATCTCTAGCAGAACCTGGAACTCCACAAGGTTAGTACATTTTTAGCAAAACCTAGAACTCCACAAGGTTAGTACATTTCTAGCAAAATCTGGACTCCACAATGTTAATATACAATCTAGGAAAACCTTGAACTCCACAAGGTTAATACATTTTTTAAGAGTTTAACTAAAACAAGTGTCTTGGGAAGGTCACCATTTTATTTGATATATTTAAAACAAAGAAGTGAACATGCAACTATCTCATTATTCAGTAAATCTAATAATGGTCAATGAAGAATAATTGTACAAATGTGTTTATATATTCTGAATCACAATTCATAAAACTTTAAATGTGGAACATGTATACGTTCTGAATGTATTTTAGATGATTTAAGATTAGTGGATGGTGCCTCTCAGTATGAGGGACGTGTGGAGGTGTACTACAATGGGTACTGGGGCACAGTTTGTGACGACCGCTGGAATGATGATGATGCCGAAGTCGTTTGTCGTCAACTAGGGTACAGGTAAAACAATAGTGTTTATATTTCTGTATGCAAACTACCTGGGCTATATAAGTATAGGAGTGTATGTGGGTATATATATATTTCAAACTTGTACGTCGAAATACCAAGGGTATACACATACATAGTTATAACCAACATTTAATGCGAGCCATCGGCGGTATATATAGGCTACATAAACATACCTTTATTTTACTCCTTATTCACCACCAATATATCATTTATTATGGGATGGCAATGTACCTACACCTACTTTTCTTGGGGTTTGGCACTGACCAATAGTTTCAGCTAATAACATATATACGCTAAGTAGCTATCGCACATACTTAAAAATATTGCTAATTGCTTGCATTGAACGTTTTCTATCATTTACCTCGCGTATCCTCTGACAGTGTTCTTCTTCATCAACACTTATCGCCACATGAGTCTTGATGTCAATCATTACAAAATATTAAGGTTATTAAGAAACGTGAACATGCTGTGTTGGATTCACTTTCTGAGTATATGAAATCTAAAATGAAAACAAAACACAGGTCAGCTTTCCTCGATCCTAAGATTAAATCCACATTTCAATATTAACATGACAGGTATGATATTGTTCCCACAGATAAAGAGTTCAAAAACTTGATCCCTTTTCTGCAAACATTATCATATTTCCTGTATACAAAAACAAAAAGGCTTGTTTGATAACGGAGGAAATCCCAATATGCATGGTGAAGTCTTTCTAAAGACAAACTTTGGATAATCATACTTCGATATTACAGCCATTTTCATTGCCTATTATTGATAAGGATAGGATCCTCCCTCGTTGATATTGGATTTCTAAACTTCACAAGAATCCATTTAAACAACTTTTTATTGCTGGCTTGTCTAGCTATTCATCAAGCCTTTGTCAAGCCAAAACTATTACATATCATTCATAGTACTATGGTTTGTGTTAGTCTTATTGTTATACTGTTGACTTGAGAAGTGGAATTAATAGTATGTGGATCTTAAAGAACTGTAAAGGGCTTTAGATCAATCTTCAACACCCCTTTTCTACAAAATCCAATTCTACATAAGAACGTTCGATATTTCCATCTTGTACATCGCCATACCCTGTTCTTAACTGAAAGAACGCATTTATTCTCTTGTTGAGATAGAGAAATATAAACGGTGGTATAAATATTTGGCTGTGACGTTAACTGAAGCATATTTCTTAAAATGATACGTCAAGATTAAAGACGTTTCCAACCTTGAAAAGAAGTTTAATGTCATCACTTATTTGGATTGACCGAGGTTTACATGGCGGGTGTCATTGGTAAAGCAGTGGACACTCTTACGGAACACCTGGTCTTATTCTCAATGTACTCAGATGTCATTTTTTTACTGAATAATGTTAATGCTTTTCTTGTTGTTTTTTCTGAAAGTGGTGGAATTTCAAGAACGAACGCTCATTTCGGACAGGGAAGTGGACATGTTTGGATGGACGACATATTGTGCGATGGGTCTGAAAGCCGCCTTCAGGACTGCAATTTCAATGGTTGGGGTAACGAAAACTGTCACCACGGAGAGGATGCCGGTGTAGAGTGTAATGACCCTGACAGAACTACTATTGAACCGGCAAGGTCAGATCAAGGTTAGCATCTGTATTAATGTAGTAATAATATCATTTCATTATCTAAGCTTGACGTCACTTTAGACAACGTTACATGTTTATTACACTTTAAAATACCACATGGGTATAGTCATTGAATGATTAGACAACCATGTACGTTTTCATGAGAGCACAAACTTCGATAAAAGTCTCATAAAATCACATTTGAAAAGAAAAAGATACTTTTTATTAGAAAACTTAGAAATGTTAAAATTTTGACAGGTTTTAAAGTCATAAATATGGTGTACATAATGAAATAAAGGTTACTATTTTGTTTAGCCATTTTCAATTCCATTTGCCACAAATCACAACTGGCGTTTTGACTGATGCAGCCAATGAAGACGCCCATGGATATATACCATTAGTGACTTATACGCAGTATATAAGAGAAACCTACTAAATAACCAGCGGATTATGACTTGTAAAACCTACAGTGTATTTATGATATATATGCTACATGTATCTTTGATATTGAGACAGTTTCTATATTTAGCTGCAATCCGCCTGGTGGACGGCCCCTCGGATTCCGCCGGGCGACTGGAAGTGTTCCACGACGGTGTATGGGGCACGGTATGTGATGATTCCTTTGACCGCCTGGATGTTCGTGTTGCTTGTCGACAATTGGGTTATAGGTAGGTTTGAATCTCTCCTCAAGGATATATCATCAATATATTCCCTAGAATGTTGACATATCTTTAGAATTGCTGCGCTTTTGTAACGTTTTTGTTTTGATTATTTCTTCCATTTTATGGATGTTGAATAATGCACAAAGGCAGATATCAACCCCATCGGTGTCTGAAATATGCCAATGCAGTTATGCGTGTCACATTAAGATAATACATCATATTTGCAATGAGGGTGTTTACACAGAGTATGTATACACAGAGAGTGTTTACACGTAGGGTGTATACAAAGAGGGTGTTTCCACAGAGGGTGTTTACACGTAGGGAGTATACACAGAGGGTGTTTACACAGAGGGTGTTTACACAGAGGGTGTAAACACAGGGTGTTTACACAGGGAGTGTTTACATTTAGGGTGTATACACAGAGGGTGTTTATACAGAGGGTGTATACACGGAGAATGTATACACAGAGAGTGTTTACATTTAGGGTTTACACAGAGAGTGTTTACATTTAGGGTGTATACACAGAGGGTGTATACACTGAGAATGTATACACAGAGAGTGTTTACATTCAGGGTGTATACACAGAGGGTGTTTACACAGAGGATGTTTACACACAGAGAGTGTTTACACGGAGGTTGTATACACAGAGGGTGTTTGGATAGAGGGTGTATACACGGAGATTGTATACACAGATGGTGTTTACACAGAGAGTGTATACACGGAGGGTGTTTACAGAGAGGGTGTTTATACAAAGGGTGTATACACGGAGAATGTTTACACAGAGAGTGTATACACGGAGGGTGTTTATAGAGAGGGTGTTTACACAGAGGGTGTATACAAAGAGGGTGTTTACAAAGAGAGTGTTTACACGGAGGTTGTATACACAGAGGTCGTATACACAGAGGGTGTTTGAACAGAGGGTGTATACACGGAGGTTGTATACACAGATGGTGTTTACACAGAGAGTGTATACACGGAGGTTGTATACACAGAGGGTGTTTGAACAGAGGGTGTATACACGGAGGTCGTATACACTGAGGGTGTTTGAACAGAGGGTGTATACACGGAGGTTGTATACACAGATGGTGTTTACACAGAGAGTGTATACACGGAGGGTGTTTACAGAGAGGGTGTTTATACAAAGGGTGTATACACGGAGAATGTATACACAGAGAGTGTTTACACTTAGGGTGTATACAAAGAGGGTGTTTACAAAGAGAGTGTTTACACAGAGGGTGTATACACGGAGAATGTATACACAGAGAGTGTTTACACTTAGGGTGTATACACAGAGGGTGTTTACACAGAGGGTGTTTACACAGAGAGTGTTTACACGGAGGTTGTATACACAGATGGTGTTTACACAGAGAATGTATACACGGAGGGTGTTTACAGAGAGTGTGTTTACACAGAGGGTGTATTCACGGAGGATGTATACACAGAGTGTTTTCACGTAGGATGTAAACACAGGGTGTTTACACAGAGAGTGTTTACATTTAGGGTGTTTACAGATAGGGTGTTTACACAGAGGGTGTATACACGGAGAATGTATACACAGAGAGTGTTTACACTTAGGGTGTATACACAGAGGGTGTTTACACAGAGGGTTGTTTACACAGAGGGTGTTTACACGGAGAATGTATACACAGAGAGTGTTTACATTTAGGGTGTATACACAGAGGGTGTTTACACAGAGTGTTTACACAGAGAGTGTTTACACAGAGAGTGATTACATTTAGGGTGTATACACAGAGGGTGTTTACACAGAGGGTGTTTACACAAATGGTGTATACACGGAGAATGTATACACAGAGTGTTTACACTTAGGGTGTATACAAAGAGGGTGTTCACACAGAGAGTGTTTACACGGAGGTTGTATACACAGAGGGTGTTTGAACAGAGGGTGTACACACGGAGGTCGTATACACAGAGGGTGTTTGAACAGAGGGTGTATACACGGAGGTTGTATACACAGATGGTGTTTACACAGAGAGTGTATACACGGAGGGTGTTTACAGAGAGGGTGTATACACAGAGGGTGTTTACACAGAGGGTGTTTATACAGAGAGTGTTTACACGGAGGTTGTATACACAGATGGTGTTTACACAGAGAGTGTATACACGGAGGGTGTTTACAGAGAGGGTGTTTACACGGAGAATGTATACACAGAGAGTGTTTACATTTAGGGTGTATACACAGAGGGTGTTTACACAGAGTGTTTACACAGAGAGTGTTTACACAGAGAGTGATTACATTTAGGGTGTATACACAGAGGGTGTATACACAGAGGGTGTTTACACAGAGGGTGTTTATACAGAGAGTGTTTACACGGAGGTTGTATACACAGATGGTGTTTACACAGAGAGTGTATACACAGAGAGTGTTTACATTTAGGGTGTATACACAGAGGGTGTTTACACAGAGTGTGTTTACACAGAGAGTGTTTACACCGAGGTTGTATACACAGAGGGTGTTTACACGGAGGTTGTATACACAGAGGGTGTATACACGGAGGTTTTATACACAGATGGTGTTTACACAGAGAGTGTATACACGGAGGGTGTTTATAGAGAGGGTGTTTACACAGAGGGTGTATACACGGAGAATGTATACACAGAGAGTGTTTACATTTAGGGTGTTTACAGAGAGGGTGTTTACAGAGAGGGTGTTTACACAGAGGGTGTATACACGGAGAATGTATACACAGAGAGTGTTTACACTTAGGGTGTATACACAGAGGGTGTTTACACAGAGGGTGTTTACACAGAGAGTGTTTACACGGAGGTTGTATACACAGATGGTGTTTACACAGAGAATGTATACACGGAGGGTGTTTACAGAGAGTGTTTACACAGAGGGTGTATACACGGAGGATGTATACACAGAGTGTTTACACGTAGGATGTAAACACAGGGTGTTTACACAGAGAGTGTTTACACCAAGAGTGTATACACGGAGGGTGTTTAAACAGAGGGTGTATACTAATAGGGTGTTTACATGGAGGATGTTTACAAAGGGGGTGTTTACACGGAGGGTGTATACACAGAGGATGTTTACACAGAGAATGTATACACGGAGGGTGTTTACAGAGAGGGTATTTGCACAGAGAGTGTATACACAGATGGTGTTTACACAGAGAGTGTATATACGGAGGGTGTTTACAGAGAGGGTGGTCACACAAAGGGTGTATACACAGAGGGTGAATACACAGAGTGTATACACGTATGTTGTATACACAGAGGGTGTTTACAAAGAGGGTGTTTACACCAAGAGGGGTTTTCACAGAGGTTGTTTGCACAGAGGGTGTATACATGAAGGTTAATTACACGAAGTGTATATACACGGATCATGTATACACACAGGGTGTTTACACTGATGGTGTTTACACAGAAGAGGTATACACGGATGGTGTTTACACTGAGTGTGTATACACAGGTGTTTACAAGGAGGGAGTATTCACAGATGGTGTATACACACAGGGTGTTTACATGGAGGGTGTTTGCACAGAGGGTAATTGCACGGAGGGTGTTTCCACGGACCGTGTTTACACGGAGAGTGTTTACATAGAATATGTATACACGGAGGGTGTTTACACAGGGTGTTTATACACAGAAGGTGTGTACACGGAGAGTGTTTACACGAAGGGTGTTTACACAAAGGGCATATACACAGAGAATGTATACACAGAGGGTATTTGCACGGAGGGTGTTTACACAGAGGGTGTTTACTCGGAGGGTGTATACACGGAGGGTGTTTACACAGAGGGTATTTACACAAAGGGTGTATACACAGAAAATGTATACACAGAGGGAATTCGCACGGAGGGTGTTTCCACCTAGCGTGTTTATACGGAGGGTGTATACACAGAGGGTGTATACAAAGAGGGTGTTTACACGAAGGGTGAATACACGGAGGGTGTTTTCACAGAGGTTGTTTGCACAGAGGGTTTTTACACGATGCAAACACGATTGGTGTTTAGACAGATTGTGTTTACACCGAGTGTGTTTACCCGAAGCGTGTATACACGAACGGTGTATACACAGAGAATGTATTCACAGAGGGTATTTGCACTGAGGGTGTTTACACAGAGGGTGTTAACACGGTGGCTGTATAAACAGAGGATGTATGCACGGAGGGTGTTTACAAAGATGGTGTTTACTCGGAGAGTGTATACACGGAGGGTATATACACGAAGGGTGTTTACATGGCAGATGTATTCCAAGTGGGTGTATACACAGAGGGTTTTTACACAGAGGGTGTTTACAAGAAGGGTGTTTACAAAGAGGATGTTTACACGGAGGGTGTTGACACCGAGGGTGTTTACACATTAGGTGTATACACGGAAGTTGTTTACACGGAGTGTGTATACATGGATGATGTTTACATGGTGGGTGAATACACATTGGGTGTTTACACGGGGGATGTTTACAATGAGGGTGCATACAAGTAGGATGTTTACAGAAAGTGAGTTTACACAGAGGGTGTATACATGGAGGTTGTTTACACAGAGTGTGTTTACGCGGCGGGTGTTTACACGAAGTATGTATACACGGAGGGTGTGTACACTGGGGTTGTTTATGGGTTGGTGTATGGATGGAGTGTGTGCGCGTGTTTCTTTGTAGCAAAGATGTAATTTTTCCGTCATTTAGTTGTCTTGTCCTTTTTTACAAATATAAATGAAAATAGAAATGATTAGATATATAAATCATCTGTGTTTTGAAAATCGTAAAGATTTTGTGATTTCTGGTAGAAATTTGTTAACGTCAATAGTATTTTATAAATAAACAGTGAGAATGAAGGTCAAAGAGTCAAAAAATTTGGTCAAGGATCTGGACGCATATGGCTGGACAATGTAGAATGTGCAGGAGAAGAGGCAGCTCTCTCGGAATGTTCATCCAATGACTGGGGTATTGAGAACTGTCAACACCACGAAGACGTTGGAATAGTATGTGTTGCTCCTAACACTACCGAGTCACCTGTTGTAGATCCTAGAGGTAAGTATCATGTATACCAACCTTAGAAGTCACTATTGTAGTCACTCAATGTGACAAAACTATTACATATATACACTTTATTAATGAAGGCTGCAATGGGCACACATTATTCTAATACGAAAGAAAAACGCCCAAGGTTAGATACCATTAGTGACTTATACGCAAAAAATATATTAGATAAACTTACTGGATAACCAGCGGGTTATTACTTGTAAAACTTACCGTGTATTTATAAGATATGTACTACATGTATCTTTGATATTGAAACGGTTTCTATATTTAGCTTAGTAATCACTATTGTAATCAATCGTTATGAAAAAACCATAATATATATATATCATAATATATATATATATATATATATTTATATATATGTATATATACCTGTTCTACAAAATCTTAGCAATAGAAATATCGAAAATATTTTCATTCGTAATACCTTAATACTATATTATGAACTTGCTTTTAACTTTCGTGTTGCTTTTTGCTGGGTTCCTGGGCACATGGGAATACCAGGCAATGAAAAAGCAGATCGTGCCGCAAAGGACGCTTTATCGCTACCACCTGTTGTTTTTAAACTTCATTTTACCGATTTTAACCATTTATTCAACAGATTTTAAAAGCTCAGTGGCAGGAGGATTTGAATACCTATACCAATAACAAATTGCACTCCGTTAAACCTTTTATCGGTGAATGGTCTCCAGACTATAGAGACAGTCACCGAGACGAAGTTGTCCTTGCCCGTCTTCGGATGGGCCATACATACCTTACACATTCATATAAAAGGCGAAGATAATCCTTGGTGCATAGGATGTGATGAGCCATTCACCGTTAAACATTTTTTTATTGGACTGCATTGACCTTCTGTCTACTCGAGAACGTTTTTTTTTTTATCGTAACATTACATGTCTAAAAACCCTTTTTGAAACTGTTGAGATTTGTAATATTCTACATTACCAGAAAGATGTTGGTCTATATGATAAACTATGAAGTACCATTTTAATTTTTTGTGTTAACATATCCATTTAAGATTTTTAACATTTGTCTTTTACGTTTTGGTTTGTTAAATGTTATCTCCTTTTGGATCGCTGTAAGTTTTATGGCCCCAATGACCTTTTATGTGTTGACTGGCCGTTAAGAATGTAATAATAATAATTATAATTTTTGATGAAGGCTGCGATGGGCACACATTGTTCTAATGCAAATGTTTATATGTGAAAAGAATAGAAGTTGAAATAGTAGTATATAAGGTTAATTAACATACTAATACACATTTCCCATTAACCTTGTTATTCGTGGCTGTGGTAGAAGTGTATTATTATAGTATTCATTGAAATCAACATTTCGATATGAGCAAGGCATGCATTTCGCTGAGTTTATCTTGACTATAATTTTTGGGATACTGTTTAAATCAATTACTGTTTACTACAAACCTAGCGTTTCGATATGCACGCTCATCGAAATTAGTTTCTGTATCTAAGCATATTTTGGTGTGTGTTAGGATATACAGTTTTCATGATTTAAACATTATAGTTGCTTTTGATAGAACATTAGTAATGTTTCATTATATCAAAACCTATCGACCTGAATATGACCCAAATTAAGGTAAACACAAATCGATGGTGATGTCAGCCTGTGTGACAGTAGGATTCACGAACTCATTCTATTGTATCGAAGGAAAGTCTGTAGCTTTCAGTCTCATGTTTGTTGTTTTCGTATCAATGTCATTGCAGTTAATTCAAAAGCTTCATTTTAAATGCATATAATTATCAAACATGGGCGATGGCCATACACTATCGAATGTCCGTATATCTAATCTAGTGATGTTGTAAATCCTAGATATGATACGTCTGGTGGGAGGTGAAACAGCGTACGAGGGTCGAGTAGAATTCTACCTTAACGGAGAATGGGGAACGGTGTGTGATGACTACTGGAACACGTCAACAGCAAGGGTTGCTTGTCGACAGCTCGGGTTCAGGTATAAACTACAAACTTATTACTGTCTTCATTTTCTATATATTCATAATTTATTATAAACTATGCAGATCGATTTAAGAATTGATAACAAAAGCGTAGAGCATCATCCATGCAACAGCTGTATACGTGATATCACATTTTTGTACCAGAAGTATAGCTTAACACTATATTGTCCTGTAAAAATATCAGTATATAGTCCTGTAAATACATCAGTATATAGTCCTGGTAAATATATCAGTAGATAGACCTGTAAATACATCAGTATATAGCCCTGTATCTATCAATACTTTATTCTGACATTTTGACTGAACAGTCACTATAATTATGCGAACCACATACTTTTAACATCAACAGAGGAGGTGTGGTTCACTCTTCGGCCTACTTTGGACCAGGATCTGGACCCACGCAATTGGACGATGTAAAATGTGGCGGTGATGAGTCCAACCTTCTTGACTGCAGTCACTTCGAAACACCGAACGAGGATTGTCATCATGGGGAAGATGTCGGCGTTACCTGCGAATCACCGGAAGGAACACCTACAACACAATGGGCGACAGAGTTACCACAAACAACACCAGTCTCCATGACACTTTTGCCTGACGTCACAGGAACAAGTGGTGAGTAGGAAGCTATATTTGTTAATGCTGTAATTCTGTTGAACTGAATAGATAGAAGTATTTTTACCATTTTACCATGCTTAATATGTCAACTGTTCGGAGTATTTTTTTCTTATATAATGCCAAATGTATTATTAATTTCTGACAAGTATGTAATTTTCAAAATTCGTTGCTATCTTGAAAGGTATTCAAACGCTTTGCGAATCGTCAATGACGTATTTAAGTAAATCCATTGTCTCTATAACTTCATTTGACAAGCATGAACTGGTATTCTCTTGGTGTACTTAAGTTTATTAAACGGACTGAGTGCATGATTCTGAGATAATCTGTTATTCCAATTTAATCTATGGATCTAATTTATTCCCTCGTTCTTATTTATTCTCTTAGATAATCTATCGATTTTATTTATTCTCTAAGATAATCTATCGATTTTATTTATTCTCTGAGATAATTTATCGATTTTATTTATTCTCTGTGATAATCTATCGATTTTATTTATTCTCTGAGATAATCTAATATTCTTCTTTATTCTCCTAGATAATCTATCGATTTTATTTATTCTCTGAGATAATCTATCAATTTTATTTATTCTCTGAGATAATCTATCGATTTTATTTATTCTTTGAGATAATCTATCGATTTTATTTATTCTCTGAGATGATCTATCGATTTTATTTATTCTCTGAGATAATCCATCGGTCTTATTTATTATATGATATAATATATCGATTTTATTTATTCTCTGAGATAATCTATCGATTTTATTTATTCTCTGAGATAATCTATCGATTTTATTTATTCTCTGAGATAATCTATCGATTTTATTTATTCTCCTAGATAATCGATCAATTTTATTTACTCTCTGAGATAATCTATCGATTTTATTTATTCTCTGAGATAATCCATCGGTCTTATTTATTATCTGATATAATCTATCGATTTTATTTATTCTCTGAGATAATCTATCGATTTTATTTATTCTCTGAGATAATCTATCGATTTTATTTATTCTCTGAGATAATCGATCGATTTTATTTATTCTCTGAGATAATCTATCGATTTTATTTATTCTCTGAGATAATCTATCGATTTTATTTATTCTCTGAGATAATCGATCGATTTTATTTATTCTCTGAGATAATCTATCGATTTTATTTATTCTCTGAGATAATCTATCGATTTTATTTATTCTCTGAGATAATATATCGATTTTATTTATTCTCTGAGATAATCTATCGATTTTATTTATTCTCTTAGATAATGTATCGATTTTATTTATTCTCTGAGATAATCTATCGATTTTATTTATTCTCTTAGATAATGTATCGATTTTATTTATTCTCTCTGATAATTCATCGGTCTTATTTATTCTCTGATATAATCTATCTATTTTATTTATTCTCTGAGATAATATATCGATTTTATTTATTCTCTGAGATAATCTATCGATTTTATTTATTCTCTAAGATAATCTATCGATTTTATTTATTCTCTGAGATAATATATCGATTTTATTTATTCTCTGAGATAATCTATCGATTTTATTTATTCTCTTAGATAATGTATCGATTTTATTTATTCTCTCTGATAATCCATCGGTCTTATTTATTCTCTGATATAATCTATCTATTTTATTTATTCTCTGAGATAATCTAACGATTTTATTTATTCCCTGACATAATCTATCGATTTTATTTATTCCCTGAGATAATCCATCGTTTTTATATATTCTATCATTTTTATTTATTTCATCGTTCTGACATACACTTCTTGTTACAGATGTTGTATGTTTCAACGTTTTTGTACCTAAAGTACATGCTGTTAGTTTTTGTTTAATGTTCATGAAACAAAGCTTAACAGAAAAAAAAATCTTATTTGTGGTATTGGTGTTGCAGAAACCATGAAAGTGCATGGTTGGATAAGTATAGTGCTACTACCGTTCTAATATATAGATTTGAAGTGAATAGTACCTTTTATTACAACTTTAGAGCTAGACGAAAATAGAAAAAAAATGAATTTAACTTCATTATACAGCTGTTCCGTCCATCTCAATTTCGTACTTTTTCATATATCTGATCAGTTAAGAACAATACGTATATAATTTGATACTGTTTCAGGGACAGCATGTGATATGATGTCAGTTATGAGGTGTAGTGGTTATCTCTCTGATATCAGTGCTGACACAATGGCCAGTACAGACGGTTTGCGCCAGCTATGCAGGTACAATTGTGCATTGTGACAATGAAACAAGTTTGTTCTTACATATTAATAATTCTGAAAAATAGGCTTCATTCAAAAGTATTAAAAAAACAGGTAAAATAACTGTATGGAATTATGTATGCTGATTTTAGAAAAACATAAAACTGAATATTGAACATTTGTAACGGAAGAAATCCTCACAGTTTACATTTATATATCCATACGATAAAAGTCATCCGACTGTTTACAGTGTGAATTACCCTCGGTTTGTCGAGTGTGTAGAAAACCTACCAATCTCTTGTATCAACGACGAACAAAGTAGAGTTATGGCAGAACAGAGGGCAACGATGGACGGGTTGTGTGCTTCTTCGTGTATGTATGTTCAGTTCTGACTAATCACGTGTTGATTTAACGAAGAACTTTGATATAAAACTGATCTCGGTTAAGATATAAAAAACATAGAATACCGTTCTTAACAAAAATTCAAAATTCGATTTAAAAATGCAGAGAGAAAAAATAAATAGATATGTGAAAAATGATTCACAAATACAAGAGTACGACCTGGTGATCTGGTAGGGTACATTATGTCCTCTGTTTCATCGACGGAAGGGTACGTTATGTCCTCTGTTTCATCGACGGAAGGGTACGTTATGTCCTCTGTTTCATCGACGGAAGGGTACATTATGTCCTCTGTTTCATCGACGGAAGGGTACGTTATGTCCTCTGTTTCATCGACGGAAGGGTACATTATGTCCTCTTTCTCATCGACGGAAGGGTACATTATGTCCTCTGTTTCATCGACGGAAGGGTACATTATGTCCTCTGTTTCATCGACGGAAGGGTACATTATGTCCTCTGTTTCATCGACGGAAGGGTACATTATGTCCTCTTTCTCATCGACGGAAGGGTACATTATGTCCTCTGTTTCATCGACGGAAGGGTACATTATGTCCTCTGTTTCATCCACGGAAGGGTACATTATGTCCTCTTTCTCATCGACGGAAGGGTACATTATGTCCTCTTTCTCATCGACGGAAGGGTACATTATGTCCTCTGTTTCATCGACGGAAGGGTACATTATGTCCTCTGTTTCATCGACGGAAGGGTACATTATGTCCTCTTTCTCATCGACGGAAGGGTACATTATGTCCTCTGTTTCATCGACGGAAGGGTACGTTATGTCCTCTGTTTCATCGACGGAAGGGTACATTATGTCCTCTGTTTCATCGACGGAAGGGTACATTATGTCCTCTGTTTCATCCACGGAAGGGTACATTATGTCCTCTTTCTCATCGACGGAAGGGTACATTATGTCCTCTGTTTCATCGACGGAAGGGTACGTTATGTCCTCTGTTTCATCAACGAAGTCACTATAATTCTTGGTAAATTGAAGAGACTACGAACTTATGTGTTACTGACCTAACTAATGCATCGTCACGATGTTAATTTAGGTGATATTTCGAACGTTAACTGCTGACAATGTCAATTTCCATACAACAAAGATACATGGAATCTCTTCTGGCCGAAGGGGTTAACCTATTGCATCATAAAGTTTACACAGACGTTGTCTTCATCTGCAGTCATATATATACTCCAACGTTGATCAGGGTCTGAATAAAGGAAGCACAGATTTCTGGATTCTGATGTATAACATACAAAGGCTTACCGACATATCTGATTTGGTTACGCATCAGTGAATCTGACCTGATAATTAACCCATGATTTACACTTTACATTCGGATTGTCGTTTCAAAATCTTTTTTTGAAATGATTTCCACGGTTCTTCCAAGGTCAATTGAAAATTGTGAACAAAGCAGTTAATCGTATATGAAGCAGAAGACGCTTATTCTTCCGGAACACCTGGTCTTATTCTTCCTGTACTTGTTCAAGGGTCTCCGCGTAGATCTTTCTTTAGTTCATTTTCTGTCCTAGTTTTATAGAATTTGAGTTTTGATTATGATTATGTTGACATTTTGATATTTTCTTGTTGTTTTTTTAACATAATTATTTCACGTTACAGATGAAGATATTGATTAAATAGTATATAAAAAATTGTTATGCGATTATCAATTAAATATCTTTACAAGTAATGCTTTCTGTATAACTACACTAGCAACATTACGAATTAATTTGGTTGGAAAATAACATAATTATACTTATATCAGTGATGATATTTAAACACAAAATGTGTTAAGGAAACACTATGTCCACGGTTGTAATCAAATTGTGGAGTAATTAAAACTGTATGGTGTAAAGCATGTGTTAACTGCATGCGCACTTAGTGGAGCACTTCTCTTCTTTGTTTTAATGATTACTGTCAATAGTTATAATCAATGTTAAATTTACAACACACAAACAAACAGACAAATAGCAAAAAAACAATTTGACCCCTATTTAACGTCTACATCTGCATCACTGGCTGTTTACAGCAGAAGGCGGTTGTTCAGTCATGGCATACATGTCTTGCATGGAGATCATCGCAGCGAATCAGCCGGACAGTATGAATTTCGCTGCCTTGTGCAGGTAACAATTTTATGCTTAAATTCTCTTGATAAACTGAATCATCCGAATACGGTCATATTGATAACATGTTGAATTAGTCATTGTATGAAATTTATTAAATTAGAGACATTTTTGTTGTAATGATGATGTTTTGAAAAGTTTGATTTGAGAAAATTATCTGAAAGCAAAACAAAAGTGTACAGTGTATATAGCTGCATGTGTTTGATCGCTACACACATCAACTTTTGTGTTATAGGAAATGTGCACTTTCGACTTTTTCTTCCATTTTTTTTTTTTTTTTTTTGTTAATAAGAAGATTTTTTTATTATTTTTGAGGCGATCTTTAATTCCATATAACGATACAATGACAATAAGCAAACACTGACAGCAAATTGCAAATTTACAATTTGACCGCAAGAAAATCTCCATAGCAATCGAAAAAATAAAATTATCAAAACATTATTATGCAAAGTATAATACAGAGTGATATACTCTTGATTATGTCACTTGATGTGTCTGCGCATGTTAATGGGAAAATGGTCAGGGCAGTACGGCGTACTGTATCAATATGTTTTCCCGTTTACTCGAACGTGGTATTATGAAACTTTTACTCCCTGTATCTCGATGTTTCTCTTGTTTCAGTTCGTATCCTCAGTTCCAAGACTGTTTAAACAATCTGCCAGCCTCGTGCAGTGACGACACTACATATAACGAGTCTATCAGGCCTACACAGGCAATGTTGCAGAGCTTGTGTCTATGTAAGGAACTAGTAACGACAACGTACTATCGAAATCGTCTACTTATCAACATTGAAATGATGCCTTCTAGTACATTATGTAATGGTGGCATTCTTTAATACGCTGCATGGAAAACATTGCTTAACTCACATTGACATGCGCGAAAATGAATTTATAATAAAAATCAGATAAGAACGTATGCTGAATTCAAGTTGTCCGTCCGTCTATCCCTGACGTCCGTCCCTTTGTCTATATACGCAACGATGTACCGGCTACTCCTTCTAAACTACTGACTTGAATCCAACGAGACTTTCTGACAATAACCCTATAACATTGTAGATGTACATAATCTACATCAGGGTCAGTTACCTCCCCTTTTCGGAAACGTGTTCCCCATTAGCAACCCAATGATGTACCAGCTACCACTAAACTACTGAATGGATATCAACGAAGCTTGGTGGCACTAATCCCTATATATTGTAGATGTGTGAAATCTATATCATGTTAAGTTATTTCCCCTTTTTCACAAAGTTATGCCTTTTTCTTGCAATATTTTTGACATTCATAAAGGGCTCATCCTGTAACAATTTCTTTCGCAACTGCATCCAGTCAAATATGGCATTTTTTATGTTGTTGGGTGATAACATAAAACGATAGCCAATAAAAAAATGCCTCTCTGAAATAAGATTGAATTATGTTTGTATAACCAGAAAATTCCAAGGTATTATTATACATATTATTCCTTCATATTTGTGTATCGACTTCTTGGCTCGCATTTTGTTTTTTATGACCAGTGTTAAAGCCTTTCGTGGGTTTGTCAATCACTGGATATTTGAACAAAGATGGTCAGATTTGGCATCAAGGTCGTATTCGAATATATATCTCAAGTCACCAAAATTAAATATCGTTTTATTATTCTAGGCAATACCTCTGTTGCTGGGAATTCAATTTGTTTTATTTATATTTTGTAGAGTTTTCCGAACGAAATGAGTGCCACGGAGAGAAACATGCCTCTGATTAACAGCCAGGATGAGACCGAAACCAGGAATGGAGAATTCGTAAAAACTGCCCATGCAATGGACTTTTTTTTTGCGCCTCACTAATAAAGTTCATTGTGATTTGTTTTTCAAGCGTTTCGTCGCTTTTTTTATTAACGTTATTGTTTTTCATTTCTTAAATTGTATTTTTCTATTAAGGATTTACTCCTAGTATATACTAAAATGAAACTCATTTACCGTTATTGCTTCTTAATCAATCATAATTTCTTGTACATCGTACCGATTTCAATGGCAAAACTGATTTCGTTATTTGCAAATTTGAAAGGTTTGTTGACTTCAAGTCAGTCTCTACATCTATACAAGAATTGTTTTGAATCATTCTTAAGACAGCTTATATAACGTAAAATAAAAATAATTGTAGATCGTTTGATCTAGAAACTTATCCTGAATCATGTGCCTTTTTATGGTGAGATGTGATATATTAGGTGATACGTAACATCTTAAGGTGGTATATGGAATTTTAGGTGATACGTAACATATAAAGGTGGTATATGGAATTTTAGGTGATACGTAACATATAAAGGTGGTATATGGAATTTTAGGTGATACGTAACATATAAAGGTGGTATATGGAATTTTAGGTGATACGTAACATATAAAGGTGGTATATGGAATTTTAGGTGATACGTAACATATAAAGGTGGTATATGGAATTTTAGGTGATACGTAACATATAAAGGTGGTATATGGAATTTTAGGTGATACGTAACATATAAAGGTGGTATATGGAATTTTAGGTGATACGTAACATATAAAGGTGGTATATGGAATTTTAGGCGATACGTAACATATAAAGGTGGTATATGGAATTTTAGGTGATACGTAACATATAAAGGTGGTATATGGAATTTTAGGTGATACGTAACATCTTAAGGTGGTATATGATTATTTAGGTGATACGTGACATCTTAAGGATAATATATCGACTGAAGAGTGAAGTGATATCCACTCAGTGATAACATATCGACTGACGAGTAAAATATACCCACTCTCTGATAACATATCGACTGAGGAGTGAAATAATACCCACTCTCTGATAACATATCGACTGAGGAGTGAAATAATACCCACTCTGTGATAACATATCGACTGAGGAGTGAAATAATACCCACTCTCTGATAACATATCGACTGAGGAGTGAAATAATACCCACTCTCTGATAACATATCGACTGAGGAGTGAAATAATACCCACTCTGTGATAACATATCGACTGAGGAGTGAAATAATACCCACTCTGTGATAACATATCGACTGAGGAGTGAAATAATACCCACTCTGTGATAACATATCGATTGAGGAGTGAAATAATACCCACTCTCTGATAACATATCGACTGAAGACTAAATAATACCCACTCTCTGATAACATATCGACTGAGGAGTAAAATAATACCCACTCTCTGATAACATATCGACTGAGGAGTGAAATAATACCCACTCTCTGATAACATATCGACTGAGGAGTGAAATAATACCCACTCTGTGATAACATATCGACTGAGGAGTGAAATAATACCCACTCTGTGATAACATATCGACTGAGGAGTGAAATAATACCCACTCTGTGATAACATATCGACTGAAGACTAAATAATACCCACTCTCTGATAACATATCGACTGAGGAGTGAAATAATACCCACTCTCTGATAACATATCGACTGAGGAGTGAAATAATACCCACTCTCTGATAACATATCGACTGAGGAGTGAAATAATACCCACTCTCTGATAACATATCGACTGAGGAGTGAAATAATACCCACTCTCTGATAACATATCGACTGAAGACTAAATAATACCCACTCTCTGATAACATATCGACTGAGGAGTGAAATAATACCCACTCTCTGATAACATATCGACTGAGGAGTGAAATAATACCCACTCTCTGATAACATATCGACTGAAGACTAAATAATACCCACTCTCTGATAACATATCGACTGAAGACTAAATAATACCCACTCTCTGATAACATATCGACTGAAGACTAAATAATACCCACTCTGTGATAACATATCGACTAACGAGTGAAATAATACCCACTCTGTGATAATATATCGACTGAGGAGTGAAATAATACCCACTCTGTGATAACATATCGACTGAGGAGTGAAATAATACCCACTCTCTGATAACATATCGACTGAGGAGTGAAATAATACCCACTCTGTGATAACATATCGACTGAGGAGTGAAATAATACCCACTCTGTGATAACATATCGACTGAGGAGTGAAATAATACCCACTCTCTGATAACATATCGACTGAGGAGTGAAATAATACCCACTCTCTGATAACATATCGACTGAAGAGTGAAATAATACCCACTCTCTGATAACATATCGACTGAGGAGTGAAATAATACCCACTCTCTGATAACATATCGACTGAGGAGTGAAATAATACCCACTCTCTGATAACATATCGACTGAGGAGTGAAATAATACCCACTCTCTGATAACATATCTGATAACATAGTGAAATAATACCCACTCTGTGATAACATATAGACTGAGGAGTGAAATAATACCCACTCTCTGATAACATATCGACTGAGGAGTGAAATAATACCCAGTCTCTGATAACATATCGACTGAGGAGTGAAATAATACCCACTCTCTGATAACATATCGACTGAAGACTAAATAATACCCACTCTCTGATAACATATCGACTGAGGAGTGAAATAATACCCACTCTCTGATAACATATCGACTGAAGACTAAATAATACCCACTCTCTGATAACATATCGACTGAGGAGTGAAATAATACCCACTCTCTGATAACATATCGACTGAAGTGAAATAATACCCACTCTCTGATAACATATCGACTGAGGAGTGAAATAATACCCACTCTCTGATAACATATCGACTGAGGAGTGAAATAATACCCACTCTCTGATAACATATCGACTGATAACATATCGACTGAGGAGTGAAATAATACCCACTCTCTGATAACATATCGACTGAGGAGTGAAATAATACCCACTCTCTGATAACATATCGACTGAGGAGTGAAATAATACCCACTCTCTGATAACATATCGACTGAAGACTAAATAATACCCACTCTCTGATAACATATCGACTGAGGAGTGAAATAATACCCACTCTGTGATAACATATCGATTGAGGAGTGAAATAATACCCACTCTCTGATAACATATCGACTGAGGAGTGAAATAATACCCACTCTCTGATAACATATCGACTGAGGAGTGAAATAATACCCACTCTCTGATAACATATCGACTGAAGAGTGAAATAATACCCACTCTCTGATAACATATAGACTGAGGAGTGAAATAATACCCACTCTCTGATAACATATCGACTGAAGACTAAATAATACCCACTCTCTGATAACATATCGACTGAGGAGTGAAATAATACCCAGTCTCTGATAACATATCGACTGAAGACTAAATAATACCCACTCTGTGATAACATATAGACTGAGGAGTGAAATTATACCCACTCTATGATAACATATCTGTAATGTGTCAAATAATACACTCTGTGATCAACATAAGTCGTGAAGTGTAATAATAACTCTCTGATAACATATCGTACTGAAAGTAAATAATACCCACTCTGTGATAACATATTACAAGTACTATAAATAAGTCTATGTCTCAGTAATAAGTACGTATAATACTGTAAATAAGTCTATGTCTCTCTGTAGTAATAAGTACGTATCTGTAAATAAGTCTATATGTCTACCCATCTGTGATAACATATATGTCAGTAATAATACAGTAAATAAGTACTATATGTAGTAATCTGTAAATAAGTCTATATGTCAGTAATAAGTACGTATCTGTAAATAAGTCTATGTCTCAGTAATAAGTACGTATCTGTAAATAAGTCTATGTCTCAGTAAATAAGTATAAGTACGTATCTGTAAATAAGTCTATGTGTCAGTAATAAGTACGTATCTGTAAATAAGTCTATATGTCAGTAATAAGTACGTATCTGTATCTGTAAATAAGTAAATAAGTATATGTCAGTAATAAGTACGTATCTGTAAATAAGTCTATGTCTCAGTAATAAATACGTATCTGTAAATAAGTCTATGTCTCAGTAATAAGTACGTATCTGTAAATCAGTCTATGTCTCAGTAATAAGTACGTATCTGTAAATAAGTCTATGTAAATAAGTAGTATCTGTAAATAAGTCTATGTCTCAGTAATAAGTACGTATCTGTAAATATGTCTATATGTCAGTAATAAGTACGTATCTGTAAATAAGTCTATATGTCAGTAATAAGTACGTATCTGTAAATAAGTCTATATGTCAGTAATAAATACGTATCTGTAAATAAGTCTATGTCTCAGTAATAAGTACGTATCTGTAAATAAGTCTATATGTCAGTAATAAGTACGTATCTGTAAATAAGTCTATGTCTCAGTAATAAGTACGTATCTGTAAATAAGTCTATGTGTCAGTAATAAGTACGTATCTGTAAATAAGTCTATATGTCAGTAATAAGTACGTATCTGTAAATAAGTCTATAATAAGTACGTATCTGTAAATAAGTCTATATGTCAGTAATAAGTACGTATCTGTAAATAAGTCTATATGTCAGTAATAAGTACGTATCTGTAAATAAGTCTATGTCTATAATAAGTATGTATCTGTAAATAAGTCTATGTCTCAGTAATAAGTACGTATCTGTAAATAAGTAATAAGTACGTATCTGTAAATAAGTCTATGTCTAATAAGTACGTATCTGTAAATAAGTCTATATGTCAGTAATAAGTACGTATCTGTAAATAAGTCTATATGTCAGTCTATATGTCAGTAATAAGTACGTATCTGTAAATAAGTCTATATGTCAGTAAGTCTATGTGTCAGTAATAAGTACGTATCTGTAAATAAGTCTATATGTCAGTAATAAATACGTATCTGTAAATAATATGTCTATAAGTACGTCTGTAAATAAGTCTATATAATAAGTACGTATCTGTAAATAAGTATATATGTCAGTAATAAGTACGTATCTGTAAATAAGTCTATATGTCAGTAATAAGTACGTATCTGTAAATAAGTCTATATGTCAGTAATAAGTAATAAATACGTATCAGTGTAAATATCTGTAAATAAGTCTATATGTCAGTAATAAATACGTATCTGTAAATAAGTCTATGTATCAGTAATAAATACGTATCTGTAAATAAGTCTATGTCTCAGTAATAAGTACGTATCTGTAAATAAGTCTATATGTCAGTAATAAGTACGTATCTGTAAATAAGTCTATATGTCAGTAATAAATACGTATCTGTAAATAAGACTATATGTCAGGAATAAGTACGTATCTGTAAATAAGTCTATATGTTTCAGTAATAAGTACGTATCTGTAAATAAGTCTATGTCTCAGTAATAAATACGTATCTGTAAATAAGTATATGTCTATATACGTATCTGTAAATAAGTCTATATGTCAGTAATAAGTACGTATCTGTAAATAAGTCTATATGTCAGTAATAAATCAGTAATAAGTACGTATAAGTCTATATGTCAGTAATAAGTACTATCTGTAAATAAGTCTATATGTCAGTAATAAATACGTATCTGTAAATAAGTCTATGTCTCAGTAATAAATACGTATCTGTAAATAAGTCTATGTCTCAGTAATAAGTACGTATCTGTAAATAAGTCTATATGTCAGTAATAAGTACGTATCTGTAAATAAGTCTATATGTCAGTAATAAGTACGTATCTGTAAATAAGTCTATATGTCAGTAATAAGTATGTATCTGTAAATAGGTCTATGTCTCAGTGATAAGTACGTATCTGTAAATAAGTCTATGTCTCAGTAATAAATACGTATCTGTAAATAAGTCTATGTCTCAGTAATAAGTACGTATCTGTAAATAAGTCTATATGTCAGTAATAAATACGTATCTGTAAATAGTCTATTCATGGTTTATGTATCTCTAAAAAATTAATAAACTGATTGATATATCTGTTGCAAATAAATCTATCACTCTACAGAAAAAATTTTCTATGTCTGTCTTGATAAATCTGTTCGCTTCAACCACTTCATTGAACCCCTCCAATCATCTCTCTCTCTCTCCTCCCCCCCCCCCACCCCCCCCCCCCCTCTCTCTCTCTCTCTCTCTCTCTCTCTCTCTCTCTCTCTCTCTCTCTCTCTCTCTCTCTCTCTCTCTCTCTCTCTCTCTCTCTCTCTCTCTCTCTCTCTCTCTCTCTCTCTCTTTCTCTCTCTCCCCACCTCTCTCTCTCCATTTCGTCTGAAGATAGCATTTGATATAAATTGCATTATAACATTTTGTTCTAAACTGGACACATTCCGACTTTCTTCCATGGTCCGAAAAGTCTATTTGTATTAGCTGAAAACAAGTACCTGTCATGATCGCGTAGCTAATTTCTCGGGGTTTTATCAAACATGTCTATATAGACTAATCTGAATTATATAACATTGACATTCATACTAAGGGTCCCTAGATCATATATCATATTGTCAGGATACAATTTACAGCAAACTGATTACAAGTTTAATAAACGAATTTAAGAACAGAACCTGTTCAATCACACATATCATATAGATCAATTTTTCGTACAGACAGAAATTCATTCATAAATACTTTGAAATAAAGACACTGTTAACGTGCGCTCACAAGGAACCACAGCAGTGTATAAAACGTTTGTATACTATAGCGCACATGGCACGGCCGCATTTATATACGAGATTATGAATAGGCACAAGTGGAACACTCTTTAAGGGATATTCGTTCGTGTGACAACCGATGATTGACAGGAAAATCACACTTGGCTTCTTTTTGAAGGCGTTTTCAACACGCTATTGTATTATGTATATATACAACAGGACAAATCGTAATCGCGGTGTTTCAAATCTATTCATTTCAAATGCACTCATTTCAGAATACCATGAAATCAGACAATGAACTAATGTCGGGCATTGCATTTTGAAAATTGTGGTAATGAGTTTCGGTCTTCAACTCTGTTTAACTGATTTTATTTAATCATTTTTACATGTTATCATTAGGTATCACGAGATAGGTAACGTATATAGAACGTATGTGAAAGAGATCCGCAACACCAGAGCATAATAACTTCAAAATCTCACCATATTTCAGTTTTTTCGCGAAAATATTGCTACGTAGTTGGTTATTTTAAACATGAATATCTCCCAACAGGTTGATTTAGTCGTTGCATTGAATTTCAAGTGAAACAGAACCATGTATGCAAATGAATCTAAAACCACATAAACGACTCCATGACACCAATATAAGAAATGCACTAAAGTAGGATGGTGAGCGATTTTTTGCTTTTAAAAAATGGGGCTTTAAAACGTCACCATGTCCAAATTTGACAACATATTTAAATGAGCTATCTAAATATGCTAATTGGATTTTTCCGATGTACGCTTGATCAAGATCTATTTATTATGTAAGTAATCAACACGGACTGGATGAATTCGATTTTAATTTGCTGGTGATTGGAATATAAAGAAAAGCACACTTACTTCTTACCTTTTCACTTTTTGTTCAAGATTTTATCATCACAACGCAATAGAATGTTGCAATGAACTTGTTTATTTTTCATTGAATGATATATGTCTAACAAGTAATCATTGTTTGATTCCAAGATGAGCTTTTGTAACGATTATACATAATTCATAGAAAATGTGAAACACATACTGCAGTCGTCATCTTACAGTGTAAAACAGATTATCTGTCGTACGACATTTAACGTACATTACAGAAAAAAAAAAATAGCGAATAGATACTTTATTTTCTCAATGAAAGCTCAGACTTATATATTACTTGTGTGATTTTTAGTGTAAGAGTAGGGGTGCAGAGTTTGATGATATGAAGATATTTGAATTTTTGGCATTTTAGCAGAATCAGTCTTTAATGTACTGACCACGTCATTGTCATCTTTGTATACCATGACTCATCTTTTGCATTCTACAAAAATACAAACACATAATATGTTCAAAAGTTGGAAAAAACTACATACATAATAAGATTTCTAAATTTTTACTTCATTATGTGTAACGTAACGATAGCACAGTAGTAAGCTCTGCGCTCTCGTCTCCAAAGGTCCTTGGATCGATACCTCAATTTGACATTTCATTTTTCCAGCTGAAAAAGGGAAACAACATAAAACTTTCACGACATTTTTTCTATTTTGTTTCGTTAGAGATCATTAAAAATAATGAAACAATTAAATCGTTGATTGTTTGAAATGTGAAGTTTAATCTTAACATAAATCTTTTAATTATCACGTGGTTTCCAATCAATAAAACTTTAGTTTATCTCTTACGCGTGCTCTCAAAAACAAAAACAAAAAATAAAAACTTGATAAAAAAAAAAATAAACAAAATAAGAACGCTATTCAAATGAAGTTTATTGAACACTAAATGGGACGACAATCAAACATTGTATCATATAGTGTTGGTAGCGTCCTCAGGTTACACGGCATCAGGTCTTACATCTAGTTTGAATCTGAAAACAACACGAGGCAAGTGTAGCGAACATCTCTCAGAGATTGTAAGTATATGAACACAAATGATAAACATTGTTTTACAGCGGACTGCCATGACTATAACCAATATTTTCTACTGTCTACATCACTACATCTGTGTTATGTCTGTGTTGTAAAGCTACTTGACGGTGTGTCTACAGAATACATTGTTCTTTACTCTGAAAATCCTCACGGAAAAAAATGTTGTTTACACTGAACAACCTCACGGAATTCATTGCTGTTTACACTGAAAAAAACCACATAATACATTGTTGTTTACACTGAAAAAACTTCAAGGATTGCACTGTAGTTTACACTGAAACGCACCTCATGGAATAAAAAATATATAAACTTTATTTATTTTACAACAATTGCGAAACAAGTTATTTCAACTTATACTAATAATGGTTGCTGGCCCAGATGTAAGCGCGCGAGGGGTCTTATTGTGGGAGGAAACCAAAGTACCCGGGGAAACCCCACATGGTCGGGCAGGCGACCTTTACCTTTTCATGTCCGTTCCAGGGGTCGAACCCAAGACGGCTATGTGAAAGGCGAGTGCGTTACCACTGCGCCACCCGACCACCTCAAGGAATAAAATGTACATTGTTGTTTAAATTGTTATTTTCACGAATGTCTTGGAAAAAAAACTACAAAAATATGTACCCAGTATATTTACCTCAGCAGCTAAGGGATTCAAGCCATGTGCGGGCAGGTGCCAGCATCATCTGGTAATTGGAATCTGATCGACAAGCGTCGGGGAGGTTTCTATCACAGGTGAGGAATGGCTCTTTTACACTAGAAAAATATCGCAAAATGTATGACAAGTCAATGTAAGTTACATTTCCAAAACCAAAAATAAAGAGATAAAGACTTGTTATATACACCTTTGTTCTTACTTAAAACCTTATCTATATTAATGCCACGCTTCCTAATTTAGAACGTTCAGTATACGTAGGCAATTCAAGCAAAACTCTACATAAAAAAAATGAGCCATTGTTTCCAAAGATATTTACAAAGTAGAAGATAATTAGATATACCCATACAGTTTTCATCGACGCCTGTCTTTCGAAATCCTACATTATCACGTGATATGTTTTCTTATAAAAGTTCATCGCATAAATTATAAAGATAGTGTTAATCTGAGGTACACTTGTAAGAATGATCGGTTACACGATATTTTTTAAATCTAAGATTTGAAAATTACAATCACCATAAACTTTGTTTAGAACTTGCTATTGACACCACGAGTGATAACAAGGAGAACAGAATATTTCTTGTTACCTGCATAATGTACCTCCGCTTTCGATCTGTGTAAGTAGAGTTGCGCATGGTTCCATGTCAGTCAATCCACAACCGCCTAGGAGATAATATAAACTAAAAAAAAACTATAGATACGAGATAACATGAGTGGAAAAGCCTCCATGTTCGTAAAAAATTGAACCCAGTACACAGGAAAGACGAGTTTCAAAAACATCCAAAATATATTTTTTATTCCGCGTCTAAAAATTTGCGCTTACAACGAAGCATTATTTATAGGTTTGAGAAAGAAGTTCTGGGCGTTTAAACATGTCTGTGTTAATTTTAGACAATATGCCATTCTTTGACTCACCTGCTCCACATAAAGTGTTTAAATAGGACAGAATCTGATCCAGTCCTAGTTTTACGACGGAAGCGCTACAATGTTCAGGTATCCTGTCGACACACTGGACAAACTGGGGCTGCGTTGATCTGGACAAACGTACACACGTATTTTGGTTTAATCATACACAATATTTACAGGGGTAGATATACGTTGTACATGTTACACGTAAAAACTTATTATAAACATTACTGCGAGAGAAAAGTTGCCCCCCAAAATAAACAAGAATATCATGGTTTCTATAAAAGTATATAATATCTACCGTTGATGCTACACCAGTTTTCTTGTCGTAACACACAAATCTGTTACCATACATAACGGTACATGTTTATTTAATTCAGTCCTTTGCTTGTTTTCAAAAGGAAAAACTAAACAACGAAAATATAGCACTATTTTCCTTCTAGTTAAAATGTATCTATGTCCGACATGCGTTTCAGAACTACGGACTCTTTCCATAACCCCAATGCACGGGGTGCTTATTTTCCTTACTTCTTTTGGACGGAGTTCTGACGTTCATTGACTTCGATATACAAAGGTGACAGAATGTAAGAGTAAAACAGAGCGATGGATAGACATGGAAAAAAGTTCCTGCTTCATCGACTACAGTGGTCATGTAAATATTGTGTGTCTAAACCCGGTCGGTTAACAAAGAAAAATACATGCATTATCGACGAGCATCGATCACATTGAATTTTACACCACACCAGGAAATAACAGAAAGAGATACACAATAATGTTACAATGCTAGGATGACTTCCCCAATACTCACCAACAACAGGCCTCTTTCGAAATCTCGTATTGTAAGGTTTGCAAACTTACGTGCATATTCTAGTCATGTTCTGAGGAGAATCAAAATCACCGAGCTGAAGAGCAGACAAACACCCATCAGCTGTCATATCACACATCGTTTCCTCAATGGCTCTCTTGCCTGTAATGGAAGCAATATCTTAGGAATGAATAATCACCAGCTGACAACAAACAAAATGTCGATCATCCATGTCCTTAACATTTTTCAATTTCACCCAACACCAGTAACCGGATTTTATTCGTCGACTAACAATAATGACCGGATTTTATACGTCGACCAACACTAGTGACCGGATTTTATACGTCGACCAACACTAGTGACCGGATTTTATACGTCGACCAACATTAGTGACCGGATTTTATACGTCGACCAACATTAGTGACCGAAATTAACACGTCGACCAACACTAGTGACCGGATTTTCTACGTCCACCAACACTAGTGACTGGATTTTATACGCCGACCAACATTAGTGAACTTATTTTATACGTCAACCAACACTAGTGACCGGATTTTATACGTCAACCAACACTAGTGACCGGATTTTCTACGTCGACCAACATTAGTGACCGGATTTTATACGTCGATCAACACTTATGACCGGATTTTATACGTCGACCAACACTAACGACCGGATTTTATACGTCGGCCAACACTAATGACCGGATTTTAAACGTCGACCAACACTAGTGAACTTATTTTATACGTCTACCAACACTAGTGACCGGAATCTATTCGTCGACCAACACTAGTGACCGAAATTTACACGTCGACCAACACTAATGATCGGATTTTATACGTCGACCAACACTAATGATCGGATTTTATACGTCGACCAACACTAGTGACCGGATTTTATACGTCGACCAACACTGGTGACCGGATTCTATAAGTCGACCAACATTTGTGACCGGATTTTATACGTCGACCAACATTAGTGACCGAAATTAACACGTCGACCAACACTAGTGACCGGATTTTCTACGTCGACCAACACTAGTGACTGGATTTTATACGTCGACCAACATTAGTGAACTTATTTTATACGTCAACCAACACTAATGATCGGATTTTATACGTCGACCAACACTAGTGACCGGATTTTATACGTCGACCAACACTAGTGACCGGATTTTATACGTCGACCAACACTGGTGACCGGATTCTTTAAGTCGACCAACATTAGTGACCGGATTTTATACGTCGACCAACATTAGTGACCGAACTTAACACGTCGACCAACACTAGAGACCGGATTTTCTACGTCGACCAACACTAGTGACCGGAATCTATTCGTCGACCAACACTAGTGACCGAAATTTACACGTCGACCAACACTAATGACCGGATTTTATACGTCGACCAACACTAATGACCGGATTTTATACGTCGACCAAAACTAGTGACCGGATTTTATACGTCGACCAACACTAGTGACCGGAATCTATTCGTCGACCAACACTAGTGACCGAAATTTACACGTCGACCAACACTAATGACCGGATTTTATACGTCGACCACCACTAATGATCAGATTTCATACGTCGACCAACACTAGTGACCGGATTTTATACGTCGACCAACACTAGTGACCGGATTTTATACGTCGACCAACACTGGTGACCGGATTCTATAAGTCGACCAACATTAGTGACCGGATTTTATACGTCGACCACCACTAATGATCAGATTTCATACGTCGACCAACACTAGTGACCGAAATTTACACGTCGATCAACACTAATGACCGGATTTTATACGTCGACCAACACTAGTGACCGAAATTTACACGACGACCAACACTAATGACCGGATTTTATACGTCGACCAACACTAATGACCGGATTTTATACGTCGACCAACACTAGTGACCGAAATTTACACGACGACCAACACTAATGACCGGATTTTATACGTCGACCAACACTAGTGACCGAAATTTACACGTCGACCAACACTAGTGACCGGATTCTATACGTCGACCAACACTAGTGACCGAAATTTACACGTCGACCAACACTAATGACCGGATTTTATACGTCGACCAACACTAGAGACCGAAATTTACACGTCGACCAACACTAATGACCGATTTTATAGATTTTATACGTCGACCAACACTAGAGACCGGATTTTATACGTCGACCAACACTAGTGACCGAAATTTACACGACGACCAACACTAATGACCGGATTTTATACGTCGACCAAAACTAGTGACCGGATTTTATACGTCGACCAACACTAATGACCGGATTTTATACGTCTACCAACACTAATGACCGGATTTTATACGTCGACCAACACTAGTGACCGGATTTTATACGTCTACCAACACTAATGACCGGATTTTATACGTCGACCAACACTAGTGACCGGATTCTATACGTCGACCAACACTAATGACCGGATTTTATACGTCGACAAACTCTTGTGTCCTCCCTCCAGTAAGGATACGACATCTCTATTTTGCCGGAGAAAGACAGATTACACGTACTGAACATATACACATACTTAACCAATAGTAGTGAATTAAGACGTGCGTGATGTGACTGACTGATTTGCACACTGCAGATTACAAATCAGTCATCATTAAAACAAATGTTGTCATTTGCTTGATCTTGTTTCCATATTTGTAAGAATATATTTGTCTCGTTATTCATCTCCTCCTCGGGTAGATGTCCTTCCCTCGAGCTAGGAAAAAAATCAAATTAATAACACAATACACACCGTACAGTGGTGTCGCGGCAAGCACGAAATTTCTCACAATACACACCGTATAATGGTGTCGCGGCTGGCACGCAATGTCTCACAATAAACACCGTACAGTGGTGTCGCGGCAGGCACGGAATGTCCTACAATAAACACCGTACAGTGGTGTCGCGGCAGGCACGGAATGTCCTACAATAAACACCGTACAGTGGTGTCGCGGCAGGCACGGAATGTCCTACAATAAACACCGTACAGTGGTGTCGCGGCAGGCACGGAATGTCCTACAATAAACACCGTACAGTGGTGTCGCGGCAGGCACGGAATGTCCTACAATACACACCGTACAGTGGTGTCGCGGCAGGCACGGAATGTCCTACAATAAACACCGTACAGTGGTGTCGCGGCAGGCACGGAATGTCTCACAATAAACACCGTACAGTGGTGTCGCGGCAGGCACGGAATGTCTCACAATAAACACCGTACAGTGGTGTCGCGGCAGGCACGGAATGTCTCACAATACACACCGTACAGTGATGTCGCGGCAGGCACGGAATGTCCTACAATAAACACCGTACAGTGATGTCGCGGCAGACACGGAATGTCCTACAATAAACACCGTACAGTGGTGTCGCGGCAGACACGAAACGTACTGCACTCTACACCATACAGTGGTGCCGCGACAGACACGATCGAAATATTCAGATTTTCTTTGTTTATTTTTTATTTCTTTCATTCTTTTTTTTCGAAAAGACAAGGTTGTGTTTTGTATTTTCGATTTTCTAAATCATGTTTGAAGTAACGCGACATATTTTTAAAAAGTCACAGTAACTAATGTCCTGTATTTGTTACGTGTGTTAGATGTTTAGTGATATCAGTGATCTGTGTCATCTTGTTATCGTAATCTCTAACCACTTTAGATTTCAAATTCTTTAATCAGAATCCCAATTCCTAACATAAGATGGTAGGATCAACAGTAATTCGTACAGTGAAAAAAATACAGAACATCAGTTTCGGTTATAACTCTCGGTGGTATGGAAAAAAACATCCAGAACACACCAATATGTCAACACAATCATAATCAAAACTCGAAATCCTAAAGCCCTGGTCAACATATGAACAAAGGTACACAGAGACTCTTGGAAAGAAGACCTGGTATTTCGGTAGAGTAAGCGTCTTCTGTTTCATCGACACCCGCCATGTAAACCTTGGTCAATACAAGTAAGTAATGTCCACTTCTCAACTAAGAACTAAGGATACAACAATGGAACCAATGTGTCTAGCACTAAACCAGATGCCGCACAAATAACTGCATATTGAAGATGGATTTCATGATAAAACGAAAATCGGATGTGCCATTCAAGTTTTATTTATTTTTAAAAAATGAAAAATTTATTTGGGATATCAATAATTTGATCACATGATTACAATATATAATGATTTCCGACCATGGCATCGATGAATTACTTTTACTACCTCGCATTTCTTTTTGAAATTCCATGCATGACATGGCATCAAAACATTCAAGATAAAATTGTTTTAATTTGACAAATAGCCAAAGGAAAATAAATATAAATTAAAAGGTTACAAAAACCACCAAAAGCTTTCTCTATCCAGTTTGTGAGTGCAACATCCGGTTTGCAAACGATGTCTAGAGAATACATGTGTCTGTAATAGTAATCATAATGATTAAATTATTTTCATCAAATGCTTTGTGAATTTTTTTAAATCGCTCTTAAAGTAAATTTGAAATTTAGATATGTAGTTTAAATGAATTTATGAAATAATGTTCTATAGAGAAGGTTACGGATTATTTACATCTATACATTGTTACCTAGATTATCACGAGAACGTCACGGAATATATCTACCTTGTTACCTAGATTATCACGAGAACGTCACGGAATATATCTACCTTGTTACCTAGATTATCACGAGAACGTCACGGAATATATCTACCTTGTTACCTAGATTATCACGAGAACGTCACGGAATATATCTACCTTGTTACCTAGATTATCACGAGAACGTCACGGAATATATCTACCTTGTTACCTAGATTGTCATGAGAACGTCACGGAATATACCTTGATACCTAGATTATCACGAGAGCGTCACAGAATATATACATATATCCACCTTGTTACCTAGATTATCACGAGAACGTCACGGAATATATCTACCTTGTTACCTAGATTGTCATGAGAACGTCACGGACTATACCTTGATACCTAGATTATCACGAGAGCGTCACAGAATATATACATATATCCACCTTGTTACCTAGATTGTCACGAGAACGTCACGGAATATATCTACCTTGTTCCCTAGATTATCATGAGAACGTCACGGAATATATCTACCTTGATACCTAGATTATCACGAGAGCGTCACAGAATATATACATATATCCACCTTGTTACCTAGATTATCACGAGAACGTCACGGAATATATCTACCTTGTTACCTAGATTGTCATGAGAACGTCACGGAATATATATATATATATATATATATATATATATATATACCTTGATACCTAGATTATCACGAGAGCGTCAGAGAATATATACATATATCCACCTTGTTACCTAGATTGTCACGAGAACGTCACGGAATATATCTACCTTGTTCCCTAGATTATCATGAGAACGTCACGGAATATATCTACCTTGATACCTAGATTATCACGAGAATGTCACGGAATATATGCACATATCTACCTTGTCACCTAGATTATCACGAGAATGTCACCGAATATATCTACCTTGTTACCTAGATTGTCACGAGAACGTCACGGAAAATATATACATATCTACCTTGTTACCTAGATTATCACTAGAACGTCACAGAATATATCTACCTTGTTACCTAGATTATCATGAGAACGTCACGGAATATATCTACCTTGTTACCTAGATTGTCACGAGAACGTCACGGAATATATGTATATATCTTGATACCTCGATTATCATGAGAACGTCACGGAATATATATATATATACATATATATACCTTGATACATAGATTATCACGAGAACGTCACGGAATATATCTACCTTGTTACCTAGATTATCATGAGAACGTCACGGAATATATGTATATATCTTGATACCTCGATTATCATGAGAACGTCACGGAATATATATATATACCTTGTTACCTAGATTATCATGAGAACGTCACGGAATATATGTACATATCTACCTTGTTGTCAAAATTATCATGATATTGTCACGAGAGTTTTTCTTAAAGTGGACTTGTCCAAAGACTTAAAGTGTCTTGTAAGTAAAATTGTCTCTACTATAAATATCAAAACGTAACAGTCGTCTACTACACCTGTGATATACATACCTGGCATTGCTGTCACTAGCCATACAGACAACGTGAAGAAAAATAGTCGAAAAGCCATTTCCACTGTCTGTCCTTTTTCTTAACAAAACTGTCACGACTTGATAGAATATTTGATAATTGTATTTTATGCATCACACACTGTTCACTCCCCTTATATATATATGACCTGATCTGTCATTAGAGCATCAACCGTCTGCTCCAGTCAGGCCAATAGTATCCGTCAGTAATTCCTACCTAATTATCTTCCAACTACTTCTATTTGACGGGAATATTGTACATATGTAATTATCTGATGATTTTAACAAGTATTGATCGCTGGTTATTATAAATGAGTCATTGCTATGGCATTGTACATGTAAATTGTAGCCGAGATTGTTGAGATAAACACCACATACAACCAGATATTCAGCAAGGGATTTACTAAGAATGCATGTTCCTGTAGGTATTCCGTTGTTTATCTAAATACGGACACCTTCACACAGATTGATGATGAAGTTCACATATCAAAAGAATCGTCGATAAAGAACATAATGACATCCAATAAGTAAAAGTTTGTAAATTATCAGAATCTTAATTCAAACTCAAATCTGATAAAACTAAAGCAAAACATGAACTAAGGGATCATTCCTGGGAATAATCAGATAATGTACTAGAGGAATAAGACCAAGTAAACAATGACACGTATTCAAGGGAAAAACAATAAATATGAAATGTAAAGCCACGAGTGTTAAACACGCTCTGCTCACTTCGCCCTGGATCATCAAGACAACTTGCCCATTAATTCCGTTATTCTTCATCTCTAAAATCATGTGTCGTGGGCTTTTCAGTTGCCGAACTCTTGCATAAAAATCATGATAATGGGTAAAAGGAATATCGAACCATCTGCGACAAGTAAACAGTATTGGTTCGGGATGTAGCATATTGAAATCCAGAAATGGAAAATTGACAGTAGGAAAAATGAAATCATACAGTTTATCGGAATGTTGTTCCTGTAAATTTTGTTGTAGAAATATCGAGGCAAGGCGCTGATGTAGTAGAATCTATCGTGTCTCCTATGTCCAATGCTGGTTGTTATATATGATAGACGCTGTCAACAACTCTTGTTATTTAATGACAAAACATCAGTATATTTGAATGTGAAATTTAATGACTCTCTGGGGGTGACCTGTGTTGATAAGCTCTTCTATGGAACAAAACAAGGTCAGCCAACAGAATTTGTTCTCGTAGATACACCGTTAGCTTGTTGGAAGATCGTACTACCAAACTCGAGAAAGATTCATGTATTCTGTCAGAAAGTATAATTAATGTCAGGGTTTTCGACATTTTTATGCTTTTAGCAATATTGATGGTGCAATATTTGTAAGTGCATTGTTCTTATCCTGAGTTTTTCTTGCTTTGCAGTGACTGTTAGTTTCTCTCATCATCTGACGTTGGTCCAATAAGCAACTATAAGTTATTTTTCATACAAATCAAATTATCATTTCCCCAAAATTTTAAGTGACATTTTTACACGTTCGTATATAAAAACAACTTGACTAGATGCCTTTCCGGAACACTTGATCTTGTTATCATTTTCATTTTAGTGTCGTTTCTAAATTATTTTCAATCCTGCCGTTATAACGCCGTAACATCTCCTGGCGAGATTTATCTGTTTTAGCCTTTAATATATGTACGTTCCTCCTTGTACCATGGATTGTGTTCTATAAAGATAACATTAATTTGTTTAATCAATCAAAGGTAAGCATAACAGATTCACTTCTTAACTATAAGTCTGTGTTAATCAAGACGTTATTTAATACGTTTTGTTTGTGTACCTGTTTACGAATGTTCCCTGTCACGGACACGCCATCAGATTGAAATTTGAGGTTGAATTTTAGGTCACTAGGGATATCAGCAAGTGAATGCTGTAACCTTTTTATTTCAGTGGGTTTTTTTAATTTGTACATATATATAAATTGCTCAATTTTCTATTTATCTAGTTTTCCAATTATTCTGAGCCAAGTAGCCATGTCCTCTAATATGGTCCTTCAGTAAGTAGCTCTAATAAAGATAATAGGTATTGTGTTTCATCATAACTTGAGGGAAAAGGACAGAGTTTAAATAATTACTGCCATCTAGTGGGCGTATCACTGAGAATATATCTGGCAACCCTCACCCCGCCCTCGCCCTCTTTCAAATCGGACTTTTTGGACCGGAATTAATGTAAGCTGTAACCTGATTTTCAATCTCGTATGTATCATATGTATGTGTTTAACTGTTGAATATTGATTTTCTTTTAATCTTAACTAAAATCTGACCTTTAATCATACGGAGCCCCTTTAGAGACACTTTATCTCGTACGACTCAGTTATTATCTCGTGCCCACGAGATAATTATCTCACGTGGACCAATGGTATGAATGCGTTGTGCAAGACTTTTCACATACCGCTGAAGACGGGATGAAGATGAAGGCACTTCTGAGCACATGTTATATGACGGGGATATCATACACTGTAATACACTACTCTCTACCAACAAAACGTATAGATATGTTCATACACATGTAATCCTAGATGCTGCGCGACGACGCCTGTGACGTGTCTAGCGGTCCGCCATCTTGGAAAGGTATTGCACTAGCTGCCATAAACAGAAGTTTCACTGTTACTATCGTGTACAAATTGATGTTCTACAGAATGTGTGCCTTATCCGATTTACCTTTGTATGATAGGGCCTATTCATTTTGACTCGTAAACATGTATGTAGTTCTGAGTAGTAGATGTCATTGTAGTAGACAGTGTTTCAACTAATGATGAAAGAGGTTTTTGGAGTACTATCATTAAGTATTTGAGCAGCTCTAGTAAGAGATGGTCATTCGCCTGATGTAAGGAGTAGTATTTTTTATTTTGCTGTAACTAGCTGTTGTGCACTGACATGTATGCAAAGTAGTGTCATTGATTACAGTTACCTTTTGTGTCTGACATCAGTTTCGATTTGGTCACAAAATAAGCAACTAGTCTATAACTTGTACAATATATAGTTATCTTGGGCTTAGTAGTGATGAATACAGAACATGTAGACAGAAGACATGATTTGTTGACTGGTTTATGGTATCAGTGCTACATTGCATGTAGAGAGTGTATACTTTGTATTTGACTGGTGCAATATGGGACTTAAGATAAATGAGTTTGCACTTCAAACAAGGTCACACTGTACTTGCTATCATTATTGTCATGAATGATGTGATTGTTGTTGCATCAATTTCAAACAGTTATTGGATTATAGGTTTACCTTCTCTACACATGTATGTGAATGTACAGGGTGAAGGCAAACAACATGCTGCACTTCATTAGAATCGCCTGTAAGCGAGATCCGATTGTATATTACCTTACATTGTTTTCTGTAATCTCATCATTCCCAATGCACCAAAATTCAAGAAAGTAGCAAGTAGGATTATATTATCTATAAAATTACTCTTATAAATATCATGGCATACTTTTATTGTGCACCTGATTTTCTTGTGTCATTTTGCAGATTCACCCTGCATATTGTTATGTATTAAAATATGAATAAAAATGTCTCTTAGTTTTTATGTTTTTATTAAGACTCCCACAGTCACACTGCACATGTGACTATATGTATTATTATTTAGTGCATCTCATGGTCAGAGGCTGTTAGTTGATGTGTGGTATTTTGCATTCAGTGTCCCCCCTCCTCCCCCACCATCTGTCCAGGGACCAGGTCCATAGATCCACATGTTCGCTTCTATATAGCCTTTTTCATTGCCGCAATCAAGCTATTTATTATTATTTAAAAAAAAGAATGAATTTGAATAAAACGTTATTTATTATTTCTTAATTGTTCTATTTTATTGGTTTTTTTCTTCATTTGTTTTTGGTGGGTGGGTTATTTTATGTCACTTTATTGTCAAAATTATCCTATGCAAATAACTGAGGAGTATCTGTTTTCAATGGTTTTTACATTTTAAATATTTCCATTATTTTTTCTTTAATTTTGATTCCCGATAACTCCACTTTGAAATGACTACAGCAGTTTTATAATGAAGTATTATTTGTGTTGATACGTGGGCTAGTGACCGGGCTACACTTTTTTAGTGGGATTTCTAGCATGAGGCAAACTGTGTAGCTATGGTTTGGCGCTAGCGGCAATACCTTCCCAAGATGGCGGCGCTACAGTCACGTTGCGTCAACAGTCGCGGATGGTTATGTCGATGCGACATTTGCAAAAAATGCTGAATGAGATGGGGTGATTTAGACGTAAACGTCAGAAATAGACATTAAATGAGGACATTTAGTCGGCTGCATGGTTATAGAGGCATCTAAAATATATTTAATCAAGAATAGTTGTTCAGAAGGAAATCATTACCACTCTTCTAGCGTAGACTGGAATTATCGGGTAAAATCTAATTTGCATATTTAAATAACTCATTTAAATATGTTGTAAAATTTGGACATAGTGACTTTTAAATTTTCCATTTTGAGGCAAAGATGCTCCCACCATCCTCCTTTTGGTGTATTTCTCATATTGTTTTCCTGAAATCGTGTATGTTGGTGTAGAGTCATTAGCATACACGGTGCTGTTCCACTTAAAATTCAATGCAACGAATAAAAGCAACTGATTGAGGGGTTTCACGTTAAAAAACCCAACTACGTAGCAATATTTTCGCAAAAAAAAGTAAAAGGAAAAATAAAGCTGAAACATGCTAAGATTTAGAAGCTAATGGGTTCTGGTGTAGTGGATCTGTTTTACATACGTTCAATATACGTTTACCTTTCCCATGTTACACAATGATAGCATCAAAAATTAATTAAAAGCTATTAGTTGGAAGGGTATGGAAACCTAATTCGATTATCACAATTTACAAAATGTAATACCCGACATTACTTTGCTGTCTAATTTCCTTAGGGTTCTTAAAATATTGCATTTTGAAATGAATTGTTTGAAACACCGCGTTTAAGATTTTTTCCTGTTGTATATATAGAATACAAAAACGAAGCCAAGTGTGATTTTCCTGGCAAGCCTGGGTTGTCACATGAACAAAGCTCCCAAACGTAGTGTTCTCTTTGTCCCTATATTCGTAATCGCCGTTAAAAAATCGAACGTTTGAAGTCCGTTACGGTCTGCTGAATTTCGATACACTTTTGAGGTTTTTGTGTAGATTGTAAAGCTTTGTTTTAGTCAGTGGTATTTATCAATTTATTTCCGTTCTTTTCTGTGCATAATATTAATCTATATCCATGGTTTCAACAGGCTTTTTTAATCCGTTTATTGAATTTTTAATTAGTTAGCGTAAATTACATCCGGTCGATATGTGGTATGATCTAGGGACACTAAGTATGGGTGTCATTCACATTAGTTTATGAAGACATATCTAATATGACTTCGACAAATTGATGACGTCACGACAGTATCTGTTCTCCTGATGCTGGGAATATTCTTTTTTTTGTATTTGTGTACATCGGAAAAAATCGAATATTTCCATAATACCAAACCCTGTACACCCCACCAAACACACACACACACACACACACACACACCCTCACACACACACACGCACGCACGCACGCACGCACACACACACACACAAACACACACACACACCTACGTGTGAAGCATACCAAGTGAACACCTTGACTTTACACATGCTAAGTGAACACTAAGGTTCTATCACCTATTTTCGGAAAACAAATTACATAGACACGTACTTTTGGGGATGTATTGCACGTAGAAAGCACTTCACTTCCTACAGTGCAAGTGGACACCTAACTGACATGCATGCACACACTGGTAAGTGAACACCTCCGACACACACTGGTAAGTGAACACCTCCGACACACACTGGCGAGTGAACACCTACGACACACACTTGCGAGTGAACACCTCCGACACACTGGTAAGTGAACACCTCCGACACACACTGGTAAGTGAACACCTCCGACACACACTGCTGAGTGAACACCTCCGACACACACTGGTAAGTGAACACCTCCGACACACACTGCTGAGTAAACACCTCCGACACACACTGGTAAGTGAACACCTCCGACACACACTGCTGAGTAAACACCTCCGACACACACTGCTGAGTAAACACCTACGACACACAGGTAAGTGAACACCTCCGACACACACTGCTGAGTGAACACCTCCGACACACACTGCTGAGTGAACACCTACGACACACACAGGTAAGTGAACACCTCCGACACACATTGCTGAGTGAACACCTACGACACACACCGGTAAGTGAACACCTCCGACACACACTGCTGAGTGAACACCTCCGACACACACAGGTAAGTGAACACCTCCGACACACACTGCTGAGTGAACACCTCCGACACACACTGGTAAGTGAACACCTCCGACACACACTGCTGAGTGAACACCTACGACACACACTGGTAAGTGAACACCTCCGACACACACTGGCGAGTGAACACCTCCGACACACACTGCTGAGTGAACACCTCCAACACACACTGCTGAGTGAACACCTCCGACACACACTGCTGAGTAAACACCTCCGACACACACTGGTAACTGAACACCTCCACATATAAATTACATATATACCCATTAACAAGAGAGATGCCAAAGAGAAAACTATAATTTCGAAATTATAGTAGAACACCAGACGTTTCAGAAGGGTAAGTGTCTTCTGCTCCATCGATCACCCTTCCCCCGCGGTATATATTAAAGTCCCGCTTCACCACAACTGAGCTGTAGGCAGTTAGCCGCCACCACAAGCAACATATTGGTATAGCTTATATAGCCAGCGAACCGATTGCCATATTTTTTTTTATTCGATATGGTATAGATACTGCAAGCTGACAGACCACCACCAGCAAAGTCAATTGGCGGATATAGCTAGATCTGGCCAGCGTACGAACCATCAACCATCAAGGGCGACTTGTAGATACTATATAGTTGGTAATAATGGCGGGTCATTTAATTGCTATATGTTCGGGGACATTTATGTAGGCGCGTATTAAAATACCCAGGGAACATTTCTGAGGCATGTAATATGCTTTCTAAATTGAGGTACACTGTAGACAAATGAATCCCCGTGAACAAACGCTTGACGGTGCTTTAGCAAAATATCAGCCCGCGAAATTAAGCAAATGTACAGAATAGTTCAGATATCTCATACCACTTGCAGATACGGCACAAATGCAAAATGAGGCCAGAGTGCAAAACAATCCATCACACGGCACTTGTTTATGAAGACAAGATACAGTAAACCAGCTGATTATCTGAGAGAGACTACCCGTATCTAATAGTTTGAGCTTTAGAGAAAAAGTGCAAGATTTTTGGATGTACGCTGCTTTATTTTCCAACAAGTTTTCTTCCAACTCGAACGGGAGAACCGAAACCTTCGCCTCACCTAGCCAGCCATGCAGTCAGCTCATTACCCTGAAATCTCTGGTCCCAAAAGTAGTGTTTTTCAATCCTGGTTAGGGATGAAGATCGCTGGGTCTGCTTCTGGAGATCGCATTTTCAACTTGAAGGATTGGCGTGCGTTTCCAATTTGTTAGCATGTCTTGGGACTATTAGTAGTATCGTGCAAGGAAGGCTGCACTGATGGTGATCCCCGATAGCTTTATGTCCTATGGACCCATCTTGCACATATCTGGAAAAGAATACCTTGCCCGGGTCCGGATCAAATGAAAGGCCTGTTACTTCTTCGGAGTCATAGAGGATGATGCAACGATCTGTCATAATTACTTTGTGCAAAGTGCCAATGGTACTGGTTGGATGCTGCCACTTAAAAGGGTTCAATTCTAAACCCTCTTTACCACACTAGAATTCTTAAATCGGTGATCGACAGTGCAGAGGATGGAAAATCCACATTCGTAACGCTCCATACTCGATTTTGTCCACTTAACCAAACCGTTGGGATTTTTTTTATTATTACTTAACATATTATACTCGGAATTTTAGTTGAGTCAATGGTGGTGCATTGTACTATGCGATTGGATTCTCAAAACATTCTTATATCTCGTAGCATCATCACGGGACATGGTATCATTCAGGTTGTATACTACAACTAAAAGTGTCTTTGACCCTCAAATGCAACTTGTCACATGCACTTTGGTTAAGCCTAGTTACGGACAGTGGAGGTAGATGTATGCAGGCATCACAGGTAACTTGAAGATAAAGTCTAGATAGGGACAGCGAACTTGTTTTGAAATATGGTTCGGTACCGTGAAAGAAAAGAGATTGAAGTCACATGCGAGTTTCTGCAAGAATTTACTTGGGTGTCCGTAAGCCTACTCTAAATTGTATCGTTTATTCTGAATATTAGCAAGTTTAACAATGAAAATTAGAAGAAAGGTAAACATGTTTAAGTATTTGTTAAGTTAATGGATTGTAGCATAATGGCCATATGGTTAATAACAAAGACGAATTGTTTAGGATCGGTCTAGGATATATTTGGGAGAAGGATAATGTAAACAAGCATTCTAGTATTGCTGAAGCAATACACGTCCCCTACCGGCCCCCACAAACTCCTTAGATGCAATGCCTTATGGTGATTTTCTAAAAATAGTAAGAGCGACCTTGACCTTGGAACTTGTACAAGATATTTTGATCCTCTATCCATGTGTGAAGTTTGACCGATTTCTGTTAATGGATGAAGGTGCGAGAGTGATTACTTTTATGTGCTTAATACAAAACAACAAGCCAAAAGTATTTAATGACTGAACCATATCTAACAAAAGTGCCTCAGGACGGAACAGTATACGTCCCTCTTTTGATATTTAAACATATAAGTAACAAGAGGACTATAGGGCTTGCATCACTCACTTGCACCCCTCTAAATTTTTACAAATTGGTCAGTTCACCAAAAACAAGATGTGCTCTGTCACGACTAGTGAAGTTGACACATATACTGTTTTTAACCTGGTCCCGCTCTTCTGTCCCCTGAAAACCGAGACCTACCATTTATACAAGATTGAATCTCCTTTACATAAGCATGCTTAAGACCAACTGTAATCTTCCTTAAGAAGACAGATCTAAAGAATGTACTAAGTTCCCCCTATTGGGACCCTTTTTCAACTTCAGAAATTGGCTGTTTTATGTAAACCAATGTAAAGATGAATTTGTCAATTTACAAAAACATTTCTCTTGTTATTGAAACCAAATCCTTTTGCATGGTTGCATTGTTCATTAACTACTGGCAAATTTTGCTTTCAATGTATAAATACTGACAGTCGCAAAAAGTATTTCATCATATTTTGGACAAGTGATTGTGTGGAAACTTTTAAACAATCAGACAGTGGTATGGTACCATGTAATATATAATGTGCAGGTTTCATTCACCTTCAACCTTAGTCATTGTCACTGCATAATATAAATACTGATTAAGTTTCATCAAATCTAGTTATATGTTATAAAGAATTTAAGCTAGGAAGATTAACCAATCAGAGCACATGTGATTTTGTGAATGCTAATCATGATATTTATACCCTGGCTTTACTCAACTTCAAACTCAGACTAAGAATGCTAAATATACTTGCATGCCATGTTTCATCAAAAAGAAATATTAAAACAAGTTACCATGCAAAAACTTCAGTTTTGAAATTGAAAAATCAGAACACAGTATGCAATTTAAGTATGCAAGATTTTGTTCAAATTCTGACAGCCTTAGTCTTCGTATATAAAATGTAATCTGTCAATACCAGACCCATCCCTGTTATTGTTTGTTCCTGGCATTTTTCCTCATAGTTAAAAAATTACATAATGCAGACCCCATTCATTTGGTAAACCAGTCTTATTCAACTTATCTTTGCATAAAACTCCCTTTGAAATCGTATTCATTAATGATCTAAAAAAAAGACCTGCATTTACCAAGTATTCAAGGACGACTCATTGTTAAATAAGAGATACTGTTTCATTTTACTGCACTGCGCCTAGAAGGAAACTGCAGTAGAAAGAAACGGGGCCTTTGCTTGCGAAGATGAATTCAAGTTGGCCATTTTGTTTTCCAATGAGCCTCAAAATTCAATATACATAAATAAAGACCAAGAAGAACCTACATATAAAATCTGAAAATAAGGAACAAATGAATGACATGACTGAGAGCCTCAAGGAAAGTAATAAATGAAATATATATTCCAGCATTTGAAACACATTTGCATTTGTGCTTGACCCAAAACTGAATTAGAAAAACTTTGCCCTTATATAACATGTAAAACAATTGGATGACAATTGACCCAGACTTTGTATCATCTATACGTAGAACTATCACATTCAAAATACACCTTAGACACAAATTCATATTCACTGCATCATCTTACATGAAAGTGACATCTGATCAAAGAAACATCCTGGTTTTTTCAGCATCATATACACCATGTAGTTCTATGAATTAATATACAAGGAATCATCAATCAGTAAAACTCTTTCAAAATAAAAAGTCAAGCTGTCATGACTGCAGTAGTAAATTGTTCACAAATTTACATATTCACAGAAAAAAAGACAAAATGTATGCATTAAGTTTTAAAGCATAAAATGAATCTACAGCAGTGCTGAATACTAGAAAACTGTTTTGGTAAACATAAATGTAAGACGCAAGTCTCATCTTTCGAGTTTTTGTAGCAAGGTGGATGTAAAAAAGTTGTAATTTTATCAGATGTTGTGGAAATAGTGGTGCAAAATATTTCCATAATGAAAATGTTTCCATTAAATCCACATCTATTTTGTTCCACACTACCAAATATCACTCATATTTTACTATACAGTAATAATAACAGTTTACAAAATATATCAAGCTTCATCCAAGGAACCTTTGCACCAAATATGACGCTGTCTTTTGTTTAATCAGAAAAAAATCACTTTAACAGATTTGATCCATGTGATCTTGAATATGGGTCAAGGTAATTTCTTTTCTCAAACTTTGTCAAGCTTCACCAAAGGAACCTTTCAGGGAAATATCATGTTTCTAGGCTCTATGATTATGAAGAAGTCCTTTAAATGGAAAATTTGACACAGGACAGCCTGACGCAGCACCACAGCATAAAAAATTACTGTTTAATCTTTGTCAATAACTCCAAAATGATGTCTTTAAAACGAGATATTGTCAACATCAATGTTCAGCATTAAACCCTTCTTTTCCTAGCTAGAATGATGTTGTAGATGGCATATTTTATTTTCTTCCAGTCATATTTAGCCAAGCAATTCTCTTTCTTTGCTGCATTTACACAATCAAGCTTTCCTGGCACTTTCATTGTCCTTATATGAACTGCAAAAGCCCTCTCAAGTGCTGCTCTTTCTGTTGCTGACCATGTACGGCGACCTAAGAAATATTACAAAACACATTTTACGACAAGAATGATATAACTAAGAAATAACTGAAACATTAGCAATATTATACAGTTATTGACTGGTGTTGAGGGCAACAGATGACCTGTTGCCCAAAATCCCAGTCAATAACTGTTTTGTTACACCCCTATTTACCTGACCTTTTTGATTGCAAGACAACTTTTTATGTAGTATCCATTGCATTTCTTCCTCAAAAGTCACTGTGTAAAGCTATAGCTAACTGCATCTGCTATGTTTTGTTTACAAAACGATAGAGTGGATGTGACGTAACCAGTCCAACATCGTTTTTTTTTTCTATTTAAATGCATGAAATGTATAGGGACTATTTCATAAGGGGCATAACATAATAATATGTTCAATTTATATTCATCTTCAACCGAAGTAAATCGTGTCTTGATTAGTCTACCCTGAATGGACTTACCAAATTTTTGTGATGGGTTAGTTAACCAGAACTGTTTGAACATATATCTTTTTTAAGTTTTTCACATGTTACTGTGAAAATCTAAATGAAAAGTTTGTGGAACATAAACATTTTGTAGCGTCCCCATTTCAATTCCAGCAAAAAGTAAGCAAAAGACGGTCTAACTGAGATGGAGATTCATGCAATAAATCATCAAAGTGATTGAATACCAACTCCAATAAATATGTGCAAAAATCCAGAGAATGTGGCCAAAAAAACTTGCCTAAAAACCTTAGCTAGAGTATTTATACAGATCTAACCAAAAACTTTCAAGTGCAAACACATGTCAACAACTCCAAGTAACTGCAAAGCAACCCTTAAAAAAGAACCAAAAACCTCACCAGGAAAATTTCCAGAAAATATGGCAGAATCATATTTTAAAATGTTTTGTAATTTTTCATTACAACATCTATGAATAAACCCATAAAGGATGTTTATACAAAATATCAACAATCGATTTGAATGGCAACCCTTGAAAAATACTACCTCAAATAGGCCTTATTTATGAGCCTAGGGATTTTAACAAAAAAGATTTTCTAGATCTCCAGGGCAACTTACATGTGAAAACATTAAACCTCTGGCACTTTAAGTTCATAAAGATGGCTGTTATGGAAGATAATGTGCATATAATGTGAATAGACAATGGAATAAGTGTGACTGAAATAACTCACTACAATTTTTCTTCATCTTCTTTGAAGGTGGTGGTTCATCCTCGCAAATATCATCATCTCCCACTATGTCTTCATCCTCCTCCTCCTCCTCCTCCTCCTCCTCATCATCATCATCATCATCATCCTCATCACCAGATATGTCTGCATTTTGATCATTTTCCTTTATTTGTTCTGTTTTAGATAAAAAAAACCCCAACTAACTGAAGCTTACTACAAGAATTACATGTAATTAAATGTGTTGCCTCTGCCCACTTAGACAAATCCAGAAAACTGCAAAATGTGGCAATTTACATGTACAAAGGGCCATAACTCTGCCAAAAAATGAAATCTGGGTCTGGGATTCGAACCCCCAGAATGAAGCCATATACCAAGTTATAAATAACTAGCTCAAAGCATAGAGAAAAAAAGTCCGATGAACTCATTCGTACAGATGGATGGACCGACACAGACGACGCGTTACGACAGACAGAGTTACCCCTATGTGTCAGCCATGCTACGCAAGGCGACATAAAAATGATATCAACAGTGACTGCATATCCTCTAACACAACATATTCTTAACATACATGAACACTGTCTCACAAGCAACCATTTTAGCTCCCTCTGGCCCAGGAAATGTATGCAACTAGATGATTAGGATATGGAAATCATCTCTAAATAAGTTCCCCACCACTTAAGTTGATATGTAAAGAAATAGTTGGAGTATTAAAAATATAATGCCTAATAAGAGCAAATTGTTATAAGGAATGGGAAACAATAATTCCATTTAATCTTTAGTTCTTTTCAGCAATTGTTAAAATATAAAGCGGTTATATTTTATAAACATGAGGCTCATGGACCTTATCGGTCACCTGAGATTCAATCGCACCTGAAACTAAAATAGGTTTTTACGAGATGATGGTCTGGCAGCCATCATGGATTTCAGACCGATCCAAAATGTAACAACACAAGAAGTTTAAAATAGGTTTTTAAAGAAGGGCCTGGTATTAGACAAAAACTTCACTATAAGACAATAAGAATGAAATTGTCTTCAGTAGAATTCAAACCTACAACACTGACCTTAATCACCAAGCAATCATAGCCTCAAGTCCAAATACATAAATTTCACTCAATATTTCTTGCAATAATTAGAATATTTTGATTAAAATCTTAGAAATTATTTTATCAAGAATAGAAGCATCTAGAATAATAAGTATGTATGTACTACAACTATGCATAGGATGATGTACATACCTTCATTATCAAATTCTATCTGATCAAAATCTTGTCCTTTGTAGGCAGAAATGGACCCACTGTTTATCAGATGCAAAACCTTTGACACCTTTGCAACCTCCAACACATTCTCCGGCAGTCTATAGAATTCCCGATGTACTCAAATATCATGTCCCATAAACTTTGCCAACATGTCTTTGTGTTCCTCTCTCAAACCAAGGATTTGAGACATTGTTGCAAGATGTTTCCTGAGTCTTGTTGAAGTCAGATGCTGGGGATGCTGGGCCCCACATGCTCTGGCAAACTTTCGCAACAAATCACATCCTCTGATGGGCTGTGTATTTTCAGTCTTCATAAACAGATATTTTGACTCTTTTGGTCTCTTGCTTAACATATGATCAATACTGTTTTTGACATCTTCTGAGATTAACACAGAAACTTTTCTGCCCCTCTTCCCTTTTATTTTGATGCGATAATGAACTGCACACAACTCCCTCTCAAATTTTGTCAAAGACATCTGGACTTCTTCATCTAAAGCCACACCACTTTCTTTGATACCTTCCCTGTAGTCTTTGATTTCCATCCGTTGGGTTTCCCCACTTCTTTTTCTGTTGAAAAGGATTAATTGTGCTAGTACAACTTCTACCAAGTCATCTAGGCCTTTGGAGTCACTACTCTCCTGTAAGACGTCAGCTCTTTTCTTCAGATAGATTGTTAGCCTTTTCACATCTGCTGCCAGTGGGACATACTGGGGTTTGTTGAACTTAGAATTATGCAGTGTGGTTAAGGCCTGTGATGAAATACTTTCTGCCCATTCCGATTCATACAGCTCAAGGAATCCTTCTGCAGTTTTCTTCAAGACCTCGTTGTCCTCTCTAACAGCCTGCATTTTCAAAATCTTGGCACACTTGCTAAAACTGTGTCCCAGTTTGAGTGGGAGAGCAATATCATAAACATGAGTTCCTTCGTTATAACCTGCAACTTGCTTCAATCCCTTCAGAAGCTTATCCCAGTTGCAAGGCAGAAGGCAAGAAGAGACCACAAATGATGGAAACATCTCTCTCACCTGAATTAGGAATTGTACAAGTTCCCTCAGGCGTTGTGAAATATATTGATGTTGATGGAAATTATGTCCGTTTTTGTTATATAGTCTCTCACCGAAAAGTAAAATCAGGTCATCATTCTCCACAGCTCTTGTGATGGCATCATTCTTCATTTTTGTAAGAATGTTTTCAAACAGCTGGTGACTTGACCCAACCACAGGCAATAACAGTTTTCCACTGTTCACCATTTCTCTGTACCCTGCTTTTGTTTTCTGGGGATCATCTCTACTTTTGCAGCTTCTAGCATGTTTCCAGAGATCGGTTGGAACAAACATGCCTAAACAGTACTTGCAGGGAACATATTTAGTCATGCAATCCTGGTTTGTCCTTGGCCGATATTTAGGTATTACCATTCCTTGTTGGTTTTTCATGACATCGATATTGTGATTGAAGTCACCTTTATTGACGATTTTAGCCCACAGGCTTTTCCTTGCTTTTGACTTTTTAGACAGAGCTAATACCTTGGCAACATCTGTCTCTTTTGAATGTACTTGAGTATAGTGTCGTAATATACGGGCATACATTCGGCAGCAATATAGACAGGAACGGAGTTTGTCACTTCTTCTGTTGTTTGTAAGGGTTGCTTGCTGGATGATGACTTTGTTGTTATTGCTTTTGGCAGCAACCAATGATATCTCGCTTGATTTTGATTCCTGTAATAATCATAACAGATTCACTTTTGTCACAAAATTTACAGATTCCATAAGGGAAGAAAGTTGTCAATATAACATAGTACGGAACTCACTTGTAGCTTCATAGTTTCAACATGACAGATATCTTGACATTAATCATAAACAAGATCAACTTTTTAAAATAAATTTTCTATGCCAAAAGGACCAAGTTCTGGTGAGCTAGAAATCATGTTTAAGAAGTTTTGCTTTGTGTATTCTAATATGCCTATATGCCTGTCACAAGTGTGTATTCTATTTAAGTTTGATTCCTAATATTTGATATTTTCTAAACATCTTTCTATTCAGCTACAGATTGTCAGATGCTGACAAATTATAAACAAGATTTTTTTGAGATGTTAAACAAGAGGATTACTCTGCACTTGTGTCTGGTTAGATGTTAGAACATGATGATTACTCTGCACTTGTGTCTGGTTAGATGTTAGAACATGATGATTACTCTGCACTCGAGTCTGGTTAGATGTTAGAACATGATGATTACTCTGCACTCAAGTCTGGTTAGATGTTAGAACATGAGGATTACTCTGCACTCGTGTCTGGTTAGATGTTAGAACATGATGATTACTCTGCACTCGAGTCTGGTTAGATGTTAGAACATGATGATTACTCTGCACTCGAGTCTGGTTAGATGTTAGAACAAGAGGATTACTCTGCACTTGTGTCTGGTTAGATGTTAGAACATGAGGATTACTCTGCACTCGAGTCTGGTTAGATGTTAGAACACGAGGATTACTCTACACTCGAGTCTGGTTAGATGTTAGAACATGAGGATTACTCTACACTTGAATCTGGTTAGATGTTAGAACATGAGGATTACTCTACACTTGAATCTGGTTAGATGAAAAATAGTTCACTTACACTGGCTTTAAAGGTGACTGTATCATCCTCTTCTGATACAGAAGGAGGAATTACTGATTCAAAATTTTCAGCTTCTCCTAAACTGTTATCCTAAAGTCATTTAAAAGATAATAATTAGAATGATGTTTTGGTAAGAGGACTGAAGCATTTTGAAAATGTGATTCAGTGGATAATTTTCAAAAATTTCTGTAATTTTCTTTTGGAAGCATGGATCCATCTGTTTACAGCAGACTGAGCAGAATTCATGAATTCATAGATCATGTTGAACAGTTTTGAAATGGGATCAAAGTCGGTAAAAAGATCATAGTATATTGGGCATTGCAAACCTCTGCTTTTTACCTCTGAATCTGATATTTCTTCTGATTAGACCTCACTTGCATCAGATGGTGCTATCCAGTCAGCATCATCTGGTGTGTCATTCTAGACAGATAAGAAAAAAAATCACATTATCATAATTCATAAATTAATGAGGCTAAAGAATTTAAAAGAGACCCAATTCACCTGTCATGGTCAAAGAATCAAAGGAACATTATGGGTCTCAATGGTCACTTAAAATACTTTGAAGATTTGATTGCTAAAAGGCATATTATTGCTTCAAAGAGGGACTAAAGGCGTCAAATGGGTACAGTTGTTGGCCAAAAGTAAGTTCGCAATGTCACTTTTCACTATATATTAAATGCATTTACACATTTTTTCAATGAATTTTCATGGCTTTGTTTTCCAACCAATAACGCCACTGAGAATTTTCTCCTGAGAATTATCTTTAATTTCTCGAAAAATTCGAGACAGAAACTAACGAAAAAATTGTCATCAGAAACGTTGGGAAATACTCTGTCTATATGTAAAAAATTTAATGAAATTGGCCAAAAATAAAAGCCAGGAATATTAATTGAAAAAGTGTGACAATACATGAAATATATAGTGAAAAATGACGTTGCGAACTCACTTTTGGCCAACTACTGTACATATGTATAACAATGGCCTTATGTAAAGCACTTGCTCCTCCTTAGGATGTTTATTGACTGATTTTGAGTCTGTACCAAGAGCTCTAAATATCAAATACTGAAGTGATTGGACGACCAGTTTCTATTTCCTTGCAACTTTTTAAGCTTAAAATAAGGGTATTATTTATCAACTATCGGAGTAATCCAACTGCTAGTTTGTTAAACAATATTTTGAGGGGAAGAATAAAGACCAAAGAATTCAAAGTGTGCCCCCCAGGTGGCCATGTTTATCAATATTTTTTTTTCTTTTATTAACTTTGTATAACACTAACCAAGGATGCTATAACCTTAATATGAAAGCAATCAAACTGTCCATTTACTAGAACATTTGTTCTATATGCACCCATTTTTGCCCCTGCCCCCCTCCTCAACTTTTAATCCATATGGGGCCCCCAAGAGGGGCCAATAGCTTTCCTACAATGTTTGGTTGAAATTCACCTGGCAGCTCACGAGTAATACTTGTTGTAAAGAAAGGTTTACAGACAATAGATGATCTGACAAACAGCACAGTATGCCAATAGCTTCTTTTTCTTCTCGATGACTGAGCTTAAAATCTTGCATTTTAAGATATATTAGCCCTCAGATTTTATGCTTTTTGGAAATCATATCCTCAAATAACAAGCTTCATAAGATAGTCTACACAAGGTGTTTTTTCCAATATTTTTGATCACACAGCCTGGGGGTAATATGTAAGAAACGAATGGCATACATTTATAACATATATAGGAGCAATGTCGGGTTTATACCTCTGCATCTGATGCTGATAACATTTCCTCATCTGAACTTTTCATGTCATCATCCTCAGTATCTGATGGATCCTTATCCTGCAAACATTAGGAAAATGATCAAAAACTAACACAACATTCATTACAGGATTAAAAGGGACATATAAACTACTAAATTTGCAAGTCAAATAGGTATAATATATATATGATTCTTTTAACAAGAAGCCCATAGACATGAATAACCATCTGACTATACTCACTAAATCTTGATATATAATTGTGTGTACTCATGATCATTTGGCTGTAAGTATAACATTTGTAATATTTAAGAAATAACTGTAAAGACTGTAAATATAAGTAATACCTGTCTTTGTAATGGAGTATATGAGGTGATAACTCCAGTTGAACCAGTGAAAATTTTTCATAAACCTGCGAAAAATTTCTGCTGGTTTAACTGAAGTTATCACCTCATATACTCCATTACTTATATTAACAGTCTTTTACATTTTGGGTCTACTTAGAATTCCATTCCGTTTAAATAAAACTGGTAAAATTCATTTTACCACCTTTCATTGTTTAGTTCTTTCAATTCTTGTTATAGCTAACAAGCTGACTAATTCCTGCCAAAATAAACAGCTGATCATTGGAAGAAACAACAAAAAGTAGTTCCCAAGCAACAACATTTTATTTTGTTCATAACATGATTGTTTCATATTTATTTACCACCACATTTTCATTTTAAATTGTACCAATACCTGTCTTTATCTAAAGTATACTGTTTTTCATTGCTCAATTTGAAAAAGACCGCAAAATGTATTTATGACGTCATGCTATGAAGGTTGCATGTTTCAACTCACTGGTGTGGATCTTGTAGTGGACACGGTAGCATATAGAGTGGACCCTGTAGTTGACCCAGTATCATCTAGTGTGGACCCTATAATTGACCAAGTAGCATCTAGTGTGGACCCTGTGGTTGACATCGCAGCATTTGATGTGGACCCTGTGATGGACACGTTAGCAACTAGTGTGGACCCTGGAATGAACCCAGTATCATCTAGTGTGGACCCTGTAGTGGACCCAGTATCATATAGAGTGGACCCTGTAATGGACCCAGTAGCATGTGGTGTGGACCCTGTAGTGGACCCTGTAGTGGACCCAGTATCATCTAGTGTGGACCTTGTAGTGGACCAAGTATCATCTGGTGTGGACCCTGTAGTGGACCCTGTAGTGGACCCAGTATCATCTAGTGTGGACCCTGTAGTGGACACAGTAGCATCTAGAGTGGACCCTGTAGTGGACCCATAATCATCTAGTGTGGACCCTGTAGTGGACCCAGTATCATCTAGAGTGGACCCTGTAATGGACCCAGTATCATCTGGTGTGGATCCTGTAGTGGACACAGCAGCATCTAGAATGGACCCTGTAGTGGACCTAGTAGCATCTAGTGTGGACCCTGTACTGGGCATGGCAGCATCTGGTGTGGACCCTGTAATGGACCCAGTAGCATCTGGTGTGGACCCTGTAGTGGACCCTGTAGTGGACCCTGTAGTGGACCCTGTAGTGGACCCTGTAGTGGACCCAGTATAATCTAGTGAGGACCCTGTAATGGACCTAGTATCATCTAGTGTGGACCCTGTAGTGGACCCACCCTGTAGTGGACCCTGTAGTGGACCCTGTAGTGGACCCAGTATCATCTAGTGTGGACCCTGTAGTGGACCCATTATCATCTAGTGCGGACCCTGTAGTAGACCCAGTATCATCTAATGAGGACCCTGTAATGGACCCAGTATCATCTAGTGTGGACCCTGTAGTGGACCCAGTATCATCTGGTGTGGACCCTGTAGTGGACCCAGTATCATCTAGTGTGGACCCTGTAGTGGACCCAGTATCATCTAGTGTGGACCCTGTAGTGGACCCAGTATCATCTGGTGTGGACCCTGTAGTGGACCAAGTATCATCTAGAGTGGACCCTGTAGTGGATACAGTATCATCTAGGTGGACCCTGCAGTGGACCCAGTATCATCTGTACACAGTAGCATCTGGTGTGGACCCTGTAGTGGATCCAGTATCATCTGGTGTGGACCCTGTAGTTGACCAAGTATCATCTAGAGTGGACCCTGTAGTGGACCCCTCTAGTGGACCCAGTATCATCTAGTGTGGAACCTGTAATGGATCCATTATCATCTAGTGTGGACCCTGTAGTGGACCCGGTATCATCTAGAGTGGACCCTGTAGTAGACCCAGTATCATCTGGTGTGGATCCTGTAGTGGACCCTGTAGTGGACCTATAATCATCTAGTGTGGACCCTGTAGTGGACCAAGTATCATCTAGTGTGGACCCTGTAGTGGACCCTGTAGTGGACCCAGTATCATCTGGTGTGGACCCTGTAGTGGACCCAGTATCATCTGGTGTGGATCCTGTAGTGGATCCAGTAGGATCTAGAGTGGACCCTGTAGTGGAACTAGCAGCATTTACAGTGGACCCTGTAGTGGACCCAGTATCATCTAGTGTGGACCCTGTAGTGGACCCAGTATCATCTAGTGAGGACCCTGTAATGGACCCAGTATCATCTAGTGTGGACCCTGTAGTTGACCAAGTATCATCTAGAGTGGACCCTGTAGTGGACCCAGTATCATCTGGTGTGGATCTTGTAGTGGACACGGTAGCATATAGAGTGGACCCTGTAGTGGACCCAGTATCATGTGGACCCTGTAGTGGACCCTGTAGTGGACCCAGTATAATCTAGTGTGGACCTTGTAGTGGCCCCAGTAGCAACTGGTGTGGACCCTGTAGTGGACCAAGGATCATCTAGAGTGGACCCGGTAGTGGATACAGTATCATCTGGTGTGGATCCTGAAGTGGACACAGTAGCATTTAGAGTGGACCCTGTAGTGGACCCAGTATCATCTAGTGTGGACCCTGTAGTGGACCCTGTAGTGGACCCAGTATCATCTGGTGTGGACCCTGTAGTGGACCCAGTATCATCTAGTGTGGAACCTGTAGTGGACCAAGTAACATCTAGAGTGGACCCTGTAGTGGACCCAGTATCATCTGGTGTGGACCCTGTAGTGGACCCAGTAGTAATCATCATGTGTGGACCCTGTAGTGGACCCAGTGGTGGACCCTGTAGTGTGTGGATCCTGTAGTGGACCCAGTATCATCTGGTGTGGATCCTGTAGCGGACACGGCAGCATCTAGTGTGGACCCTGTAGTGGACCCAGTAGCATTTACAGTGGACCATGTAGTGCACCCAGTATCATCTAGTGTGGACCCTGTAGTGGGACAAGTATCATCTGGTTTGGACCCTGTAGTGGACCTAGTACCATCTGGTGTGGACCCTGTAGTAGACATGGCAGCATCTGGTGTGGATCTTGTAGTAGACCCAGTATCATCTGGTGTGGATCCTGTAGTGGCCCCAGTAGTATCTGGTGTGGACCCTGTAGTGGACCCAGTAGCATCTAGTGTGGACCCTGTAGTGGGCATGGCAGCATCTGGTGTGGACCCTGTAATGGACACGGTAGCATCTGCTGTGGACCCTGTAGTGGACATGGCAGCATCTGGTGTGGATCCTGTAGTGGCCCCAGTAGTATCTGGTGTGGACCCTGTAGTGGACCCAGTATCATCTTGTGTGGACCCTGTAGTGGAACTAGTAGCATTTACAGTGGACCCTGTAGTGGACCCAGTATCATCTAGTGTGGACCCTGTAGTGGACCCAGTATCATCTAGTGTGGACCCTGTAGTGGACCCAGTATCATCTAGTGTGGACCTTGTAGTGGACCAAGTATCATCTGATGTGAACCCTGCAGTGGACCCTGTAGTGGACCCAGTATCATCTAGTCCAGTATCATCTGGTGTGGACCCTGTAGTGGGACAAGTATCATCTGGTTTGGACCCTGTAGTGGACCCTGTAGTGGCCCCAGTAGTATCTGGTGTGGACTCTGTAGTAAACCCAGTAGCATTTACAGTGGACCCTGTAGTGGACCCAGTATCATCTAGAGTGGACCCTGTAGTGGGGTGTGGACCCT